TGCAATGTTATTTCTATTCATTTTCATTATAAATGTGAACAAATTTTCACTGCACGGAATTGTGAGCATCTGCTGCTTCTCATGGATGGTAGATGGTCTCTGTGTGAATCGGTGTTTCAAATCTTTCAAAAATTCCCACCATTACCCCGGGATGGGCTCAGTGTGCAGAGCGCTTAAGTTAGTCGTAGAAAAAGGCTTGGTGTGATTTTTATGCACAACCTGATCAATGGTGACGTAGATAGCCCTGACTTATTGAGCCGCATAAGCTTTACGATTCCTATTAGATCTACTAGAAACTTTATTCCTTTGTTCCTTCCGCTTTGTAGATCAAATTATTCCTTGCACGAGCCATTTAGGGTCCTATGCTCGGACTTCAATTCCCTCTACCATATAATATCAACCACTAATTCCCTTCTAATTCCTCTTCTTAAATCACTAATACTAACATACCTTTCCCGTAATTATTACAATTTCTTAGCTATCTTTGCATTTTTAGCTCTTTGAGTTGTGTTTAGCTCTAATTTCCCTCGAATTTTAGTCTAACACCTATCTTTCCTGCATGCTCTCGAACGGTTCGGTAGCACGCGTCGCGCGTCATGCGGCAGCACCCCTCGTTCGGTTGGGCGGGAGAAGGGGCTGCGTTTCTGCCTGGGATCCGCGCATAAAAGGCTTCGACTTGGTGTCGCATGGGCCACTTGATGGTGCATTCATTGCATATCAACGTCCAGACATTGTAAAAAACAACTGTATAGAAACCCCCGGAACAAAAACTGTGAAAAGTTTAAAAAGCCTCAAAGCTCGCGACTCGCCCCGGCACAGTGGAAGACATAGAAACGTCCCTAGAGCTCCTATTCACGCGTACCACGCAACCTCCCACCATCGAGAACAAACGAGAAGGAACGTGTGACTCGCTTCTATGGACGCGACTATACTTCTATACCCGTAACTCTGTCAGTATATAAAGTTGTGAGCTTATGATTTATGTAGAATTTTAAAATATATTAAATTTTAGATTTTTTTTCTACATCTATTATCTACATCTACAATGTCAATTCCACATATATAATGTAAATTATATTATTATTATTATTATATTATTCTACATCTTCTCGGCAAAGTCGCGTGGTCTCCTGCCGGAGGAGGTGGGGGAAGCAACTGAAAATTAATTTCTGTATTCATACTATAATAATGATCCGATCTGATTTAGATTCGGCAATCTGGTAGATATGGTCATTCTCTAGTTTTATCGTATCTTTAAAATTGTGGCTGCCACAGATTTCCGTTCTTTGTGGGGGCGGAAGGGGGCGGCGCAAAATTTTGAAATACACTTGTAGCAGTCCAATATCACATGAGTCTGGATAGAAAATGTGGTTGCACTAGCTCTTATTGTCTCTGAGATCTAGGCGCTCATCAAGACGGACAGACGGACATGGCTATATCGACTCGGCTATTGATGCTGATCAAGAATATATACACTTTATGGGGTCGAAAACGTTCCCTTCTCTGCGTTGCACACATCCACTTTTACCACACCTCTTAACTCTTTTTGAGTACGGGTATAAGAAAAGTCATTTTGGGCCACAGCGGAAATGTCGTGTCGACTAGTGCTATCATTTTTAATTTCGATGAATTCATAGACATTAAATTCATTTAGTCTGCTAGTATAGATATAAAAATATAAAATAATAAAAAAAATATTAATATGTATATACCAGCCTCGCGGGACTGCCGTGAAGCATTGCGAAAAGCTTCAGGGCTCCAGGTCTAAAGCTTGACTCTATGCCCTTGATGTAGCTTTTGGTGCTCGTTGCCTGAACCAATAGGATTAACGGCTTTGCTACGTTGAAGAGAAGTATCCTGCTCGTCGACTTCGTGCCTCTATTGCTTAGCATCATGCGGGATACCGCCATAACGACGCCATGTGCTTTCCGGTGGAGATACACCGGTAGGTTCTCTCTGAATGATAGCCGGGTGTCAAGCATGACTCCGATGACGATGTGACGATGCAGGCTCCTTCTACAGTTATACTCGCCGTCTCAACCTGTATCCTGCTGCTACCAACCACCTATGGTTCTGATGGCCTCGTTTATAGCACTTTCCGTTTCTGCGATTGTTTTCTTGACGTCAGCGACGTCATCAGCAAATCCCACAATCTCTTCTCCGGCTTGAAAGTCTAGGCTCAAGATTTCAGCATACATGGTATTGATTGTCACGGATTGGTGTTGCTTTATTTAGCCTTCTGATGATAATGCTTTCCAGCACCTTGCCTGCACTGTCGAAGAGGCAGATGGGAATGTATGTCGATGGATTCTCTGAGTCTTTCGCTGGTTTTGTAATCAGCACCAGCATTAGCTGTTTCTATCTCCCAGGGAAGAGTGTCTGAAAACATACTTCTGGCCAGTTTGAGAGCCCGATTTGAAATGCCGTCAGGTCCTGGTGCTTTGCTGTTTGTCACTATCTGCGGTACTTTGACCATCTCTTGTGTTGCTACCGGCGCTCCTGTTTACCTCTCTGTCCTGCGCTGGAAATAGGTTCCTGACGATCGTTTCCAGTTTTCCACTATCTGTTGGCGCGGGTTATTTGAATCCGCTTGTCTTCGTCATGATCACTTTGTAGGCTTTGCCCCAGAGATCGTTTTCTGCTTCGTTCCAGAGCTCTAGGAAGAATTTGCTTCTTTTGATATCTTTCTTCAGCTTCTCCCTCTTTTGGGTGTATGCCACTCTGAGGGCTTGGAAGTTTTCTGCTCCGGGGGTCTATGGTATGCTTGTCTGGCGCCTATGCATTTACGGCGGGCCTCCTCTATAAAATGGTTCCACCACTAGATCGGCGTATGGCCCTTTTTATTTATTTATTTATTTATTGAAAGAGGATCAGCAACTATCTGCTAATATAAACTATGATTAAAATTAAAGGAAAAAAAAGAGGATATAAGAAATAATTAATAACTAGAGGATTGCAGGTGCAGGTATATGTTACTGGCTATAATTTTAAGGGATAATTCAGGGGATAGGGTATGATAAAGATTATTATAATTAGAGCATAAAATTCTAAAAGGGTCGTGTTGAGCGTAATTAGACCTACAGAAGGGTAAACAAAAAGGACGAAAGGTACGGGTAGGTCTAAGGGGAAGTCAAGCTGGCCAAGTAATGATTCTGAGTCAACAAGCCCAACTAGGAGCTTGTGTAGAAACATAACGCCGTTACAAATTCTGCGATGGCGCAATGAAGGGAGGTCTAAAAGTTGTAGCCTCGATTTATAAGGTGGCAAGATTCTATCTAAGTCCCAGTTAAAGTTACGTAATGCAAAAACTAAAATTTTTTTAGACCGATTCGAGAATGGACTGTTGCTCCTTGTAATGTGGACTCCACACACAAGAACAATATTCCAGAATCGGACGAACCAAGAAGACGTACAGTGTTTTGGTGACATACGGGTCGTCAAATTCCTTGGACCAACGCCTTATAAACGCTAGAACACCCTTAGCTTTATTTACATTTACAGCTATATGGCTACTAAAACACAGTCTATGATCGAAAAGAACTGAGCTCGAAATTCGTTCGAGAGCATGATTCGCTTCCGCTTTATTTCGCAGATATATGGCTATTGAAACACAGTCTATGATCGAAAAGAACTACAAAGTCATTTAAACTCAATATTCTTTCGACGGAATGATTTCCAGAGCGTACGAGAAAAAATGTGGAGCGCGACGGTAAAAAGTCATAAGTTTGCATTTAGAAAGTTTCAGAAAAAGGAGATTTTTTGAACACCAAATTAGCAACTCATTTAGATCGAGTTGAAGGCGTTTGTGCAGGAACCAATCAGAGTGGGAGGGATAGATTTTAACATCGCGTACATTAGTGTAGAAGAGTATGATATAACTTGAGGAAGGTCATTCAAAAATAAGATAAACAGAAGTTAGAAAGATATGACGAGATCCAGTAAGGAATATTATTGGGGAAACCAATCAAAGAAAGCTTGTGAATGAGCAGAGAATGGTTCACGGAGTCAAAAGCCTTGCTTAAATCCGTGAAAATTACGTTTGTTTGCAGTGAGCTTTGCAATCCTCGGTTAATTGCAGAAGAGAACGCGGGAAGGTTTGTCGATGTTGATCGATGTTTAAAAAACCGTGTTGCGATGGAGATATCAGACTACTGCATAGGTGTTGCGATTGCCTGGTAACAAGGAACTCAAGCAGCTTTGGAATGGCGAAAAGCTTTGCAATACCTCGATAGTTCTCAATGTGAGAACTTGAACCCTTTTTGTGGAGCGGAATGATGTAGGATTCGTTCCAAATCACTGGAAGACATGACCGTTCCAATGATAGCACTACACGAAAAAATCCAACTTTTTTATATCTATAAATTTTTTTAAAGAATTATGGTTTTTTTCTATTACAGAATTTTTTTTTGAAGAATTTTTAGTTCTGGTATTTTTTGTAAAGCTTTTTTCAGAAGTAGCGCTAAAAGTCTTTACGATTTTGAAAAGATAATTAAAACAGCTACAAGGAAGCGTATGAGAAATATAAAGCATTGAATTGGAAAAATGCTGATTTTTGTGTGGTATTTTTAACAAAAGTAAGTTCTGCCATAGAAAAAAAAAATTATCATCAAACCATTTCTAAGCCCTAAATCTTTAAGAAAAAGTTGGTTTTGTTCCTTGAGGAAAACTCGTGTCGAGTAGTGTAATTGGATGCTCTTCCGCCAGTGTGACATGAAGTTGTCAGAAAATTGTAAAAGCACTGTGGACTGGCTTGCAGTCTAGATTGGACTTGAAGTCAGTTTGGTTTAATTCGACTACTAACACAGATTAAAAATTGACTTTGAAATTTTTGTAGGGTCTACATATAATATTGGATGAGTATGAATACATATGTATGGTACATGTAGTTTTAAACTAAACCTGATTTTCTCTCTCTCTTACTATATACACATACATGTGTATTTTTTTGCATACATGTTTCTATGTACATTTGTATATGTCAGTAAAGTTGTGGATTTTATCATAAACTTGCTTAGTTGATTTCGAATTTTCGTTGCGGATAGTGGATTGTCGTTAAAATATACATATATACATGTCCACATATTTAGATATCACGAGCGAATTGGAATTTATTGACATAATTATGGATTCGAAAATATAGTTGTATGTATGTACATATGTTTATATGTACTTGTTGACTCCTTTTGCAAAACAATGCACGTACCGATTTAAGTATTAGTCATAAACATTGACCGATTAAGACTGCATTCATTTCTCTTTTTGAACTGAAGGTTGTTAATACAGATGTAATTGTTAACGTATGTACATATGTCTTTGTGCAAAATTATTTCCTTGCAACAGCAAAATTAAATTATGTGAAATTTTAATATCAACTTATATACATAAATACATACATACATATGTTTAAGTTAATACGAAAAAAAGTTTATGTAGATATGTACATCACTTTACTTTTGTGTTTGTTAATATATACGTACGCATTTCAATCTGTTCAAATGAGTATGAGCATGTATGTACATATGTGCCCACATATGTACGTATGTGTCTATGTACATACCAATGTATGTATGTTATTTTGATAAATACATAAGGAAAATTAATAAAAAATTGAAAATTACTGATTTACCTTTGTTCAATAACGTATGTACATAGATATATTTACATCCAAATTAAAATATTTTTTAAATCCATATCATGTCTTCTTGATTAACTAAGCAATATCTACATATGTTAAATCCTTTTCTACTTTTAGTTTGTGAAATATCTTGAACTTTTCTCAAAATTTTTTTATTTGTTTTATTTAAACACTTTGATTAGATTTAATTTGAAAACAAAACAAAACATAATCTGCAGTAAACCAGTTAAATATAAATAAAATATTGATAAACACGCGATTTACTCGATTTACTCTTTAGTAAAAGATTAAAAATTTAATATTAATTATGCTATTTATTATTAATTGTAACATCATTATGTTAAGCCTACAATCAGGTCGTCTATTTTACATGGTAACATTTTATACACATATGTACATTTGTTTTTATATAGAAATCGCTTTTTCATCGCTCTTTGTGAATCGAAAGTTTCTCATATGTTTCATAAGACATTGCGGTATAATTGAGAACATAATGAACAGTAACATTTCGCTGGACAATACATCTGATCAGGACTATTCAGAATTTCTTAACGAGTATTTATTGCAAGCCAATTCCCCTAGCAACGAGCCTGAAGTTAATTACGAAGGTGTGTGTTTTTAATATAAGATATTGACATGTTCTTACGATTCCATCTCGTCTTTTTTCATAGATGGTGAAATGGAGGCGGAATGGTTGGTTTCTGCCGGATACCCCGAATTGACGAAGCCGTTTGAACAAGTACGTATATTATACGCTTAAGGAACATATTGCAAAATTGTTCTGATGTTTGAAACGCACAAAAGTTTTCTGAAAACTATAGCGCCCTAAAACTGAAAGCCCAAAAAAAACGTGCCACAGAGATATCGATTTATGGGTGACTGTTTTTCGAACATCAAGTGTTTCTAAACTGGAGAAATCATAATAATAGGGCTTAATAAGAGTAGTTTCTTACAAGTAATCCCGGTTAAGAAGACATGGTCTACATATGGAATATCGAATTTTTTGTTACGAGTAAGCTCTCAATCACATTAAGCCGTTCACTGAGCCGAAGGAGAAAAAAAGTTTTCAAAATTCAGCTTTCAGCTCAGTTTTTTTTTAAAGCTTTCGATGAAATTCCAGGAGCCGCTTTGTGTTCGGTACAGTATACTTATAAAATCTTTAAGTTAATCCTATCACTTAATTCAGTGTCATATCAGAGGAACCTATTAAAACGTTTCTACTCGATCTTCATTAGTTTTTTAAAGATCTTAGGGTCTCATTTCGACGAACAGATAGACATGGGTATTTCGACATACATACATAGCTATTGATGCTTATCAAGAATACTAAATATAACGAGAAGGAGCGTGTGAGTCGCCTCTTTGAATACGACTCTACTTTTAAACCCGTCAGTATATACATTTTTGAGCTTATGATTTATGTAGAAAATAAAAAATATTTCTTCTCCGCCAGCGGACGCTTGCTTACAAAACGGGGCAGAGTGTGCGAGCGAAAAAGAGAATGAGTAGCGGGTCTCTTGCTGGAGGAGGTGGGGGAAGAAACTGAAAATGAATTTCTTTATTCTGGCTATAATTATGATCCGATCTAATTCAGATTCGGCAATCTGGTAGATATGGCCATACTGCGTTTTTAGTTGTCTCGTATGTTCAAAATTCTGGCTGCCACAGATTTTCGTCCTTAATGGGGGCGGAATACACTTGTAGCAATGTGATATCACATGAGTCTGAAAACAAGATTTGGTTGCTCTAGCTCCTATAGTCTCCGAGAAATAGGCGCTCATCACGGACGGACAGACAGACATGGCTATATCGACTCGGCTATTAATGCTGATCACGAATATATATACTTTATGAGGTCGGAAACGATTCCTTCTCTGATTTGCACACATCTACTTTTACCACAAATACAATATACCCCATAACTAATTGGCTTCCAATTAAAATTACCGGTAATCCAACCTTCAGTCGTAGAACGTGTTGTGGCATGCCTGACAAATCTAGTGAGCTTACAACTTCGTTCTCATCGTAAGCTGCATCGATCAATTTATAGGATACCAATTCGAATGGCAACAACTGCTCTAAATGAAATTATAATAACAGAAATACCATTTGACCCATGTTTATAGTTAAGCGCCTGAATGGGGACATTCTTTGTCCATATCATCAATCAGCCCCTTCTGATGAGCGTAATATTCAATATCTGGCTCTTATTCGAGTGCGAGACGAAGGAACTAAGCGTATGTAAAGGCTCCATGGCGTTTTTGTTAATTTTCCTGATATTGCCAACAATGTACCGGAGCTAATGTCTCCGTTTCAATAGTCTTTGGTCATTTCGTTGCATTATTTGTTAGACCCTCCAACCTGGCCCTCTTGTGTCTTGCGGGCATTTTTCACTGTATAAACACATACAAATAAACAAAATTTACAAAAACGTAAAAAAAAAACAAAAGACAATGGTACATTATGCCACAAAACACAAATATAAATATGTCACAAAACGCAGTGAAAAATAAATCATAGAAATAATTGATCCCAAAACACTAAAATCGCTATTAAAAGTTAATGGGGTGTGATATGAAGGTTAAAAATACTTTACCAAATATTCGCAGGCCTACTTCATATACAACATAAGAATAAGAATCGGTCGAGCCGTTTGGGAGAAGTTCAAAAACAAACACCATGACAGGAGATTTTCTTAAACTCTCTTAAATGATATATTATTCTGTTGTGAAAATACAGGGACTGGAACTACGCACTACTGAACTTGAACATGTACTCGCTACACTTTCAAAACCACATGCTGACGTCATTAAACAACGCGTTCGGGCTTTGAATCAAACAGTACGCGGGCGCACAAAAAATCGATCTAAGCGAAAGCCTGATATTCGTGATGTATTTCGCGATTTTGATGTAAGTATAATTTTATAAATTTGTTAAAATTTGTTATTTTGTGCAATTCAAATATATGAAAAGGAGTCTAGTACGGGCACACGCTCTCGAAGTGCAACACCAGACTCACTGGATTCCATACAAGGCGAGGAAGTTTGGGGCAACGCTTCTATGTAAGTTAAATGATAGAATCTTGCTACATGAAATTTTATGGACATTTTTCTTAGTCCCAGTTTTGTAAGTGTTTTTGAAAACAACAGTGGCAATGACATTGTTCAACCATATGTAGCAAAACAGTTAAAGCAGAAGTTACGACGGACACCAAGTGCGCCGCTTAAAAGTTCCACATCTACAGATTTATTCCGTGGATCGCACGTGCGCTGTGACATACCTATGCACTCAGCAGATGGCGTCGAGTTACTTGGTTACTCGCGGATTGGCACTATACACTTACCACGAAATCGATCCGGTTCGGACCCATCTTGCTCGGTTGGGTAAGTTATGGCTAAAGCCTTCAATTGAACATACTAATTCTTTAAACCTGGTGAATCTTTTGTAGGCGCTCCCGTGGTCAGCTACTGCGAGACTCGCAAAGTGAAAACACATCTTCCGGAGATTCTAGCGACGAGTGCACCTTGAATACGAATATCTCTTCAAAAAAAGTAATAGACCAGGTGCAGGTGAAATCTCTCAGTTTTCAAAATTCACCGCTTTCGCGGGAAGGTCTAAGCTTCGAAAGTATTTGTCGCGATACCTCTAGTCCAGATGGAGAAGAATCATTAGATAGTCATGAAGTTGATTTAAAATTTTGCTCAGATATCGATTCGATAAGTGAGCCCGATCTTAAACGCCTTCAACCCATTTTTTGGTTAGAGTTGGCCACAATATTCGATCGCAACCAGGTGTCCTTAGATAAACGAAAACCATTTAAACGTCGTCGTAAAGAGGAGGGTAGTCTTTTTGGAGTATCCCTAAATGCTCTTATACGTCGTGATCAGCAAGTTACCGGTAAGGATTCGACATTAGTTCCACTGTTTTTAGAAAATTTGCTTGCCGAACTGATAAGACGTGGCGCCAGGGAAGAGGGTATACTACGAATAGCTGGACACAAAAATAAGGTGATTCCGCAAATTCTGTATACGTTATATAAATAATACTTACACATATTATTCCATATATTACAGACTGAAATACTTTACAACGAATTAGAATCAAGCTTTTATCAAAAGCCAGGAAAATATTCACAACTTCTTGGCACTGCTACAGTTCATGAACTTAGCGCTCTGCTTAAACGTTGGCTGCGGGAGCTTCCTCAGCCGTTGCTTACAAATGAACTTATTCAGCTATTTTATCAATGTCACAAACTTCCATCGATGGATCAAAAGAGAGCTTTATCGATTGTTTGCCAGCTGCTACCACACGAAAACCGAAACACCCTACGTTCGCTGCTACGATTTTTAAATTATATTACTGAACTTAAGGATACAAACAAAATGAATCTACATAACGTTTCCACGATTATTGCTCCATCTTTCTTTCCGCCACGGTTTATACATCCGATAGACAAAAATAGTATTGAAGAGCAAGTGAAGATGGCAGCACAGTGCAGTCGATTGACTAATGTTTTAATAATGCGTGCCGAAAAACTTTTTCAGGTAGCGAATAATCTAATTATGGAATCCAAGTGCAAGAAGGCACGATTGGTATGCTTTGTATGTTTGTTTTAAATTTTTAACTAATTTAATTATTTATTCGCAGGGGAAAAAAGGCATGTCGCGGCGAGTAAAACCGGTTGTGTCATTAGTACATTCAATGACACCAAACCCGTTACTTATGGAGAACCACATTAAAGACAATAGCGGTAACAACACAATTGATTCAAGCGTTCTTGCCGAAAAGTCGAGCACTCATAATCACCTGCATCGTTTTGTTGTCTAAGATACAAATACCTGGGTTTAATGGGTGCGGAATTTCTTGAATGCATTTAATTCTATATAAATACTTATATTTATTTAAGTTTTGTATTTAAATAAGTTGCACACAAATTTCATTAAGCTTTAAATAAAATTAAAAAGGGTTAACAATATTATTAAGAATAATATTAAAATGTTTTTTGAAGCCACTTTTAAGTCAAATATCCTGATTTGTTACAAAAGAAAGGTATATATGACAATCATTTGTACCCTAAAAGTAAGAACTGTAATACAAATTTTGATTACTTTTTTTGTTATTGTTACATATGTACATATACATATAACACGATAATTAACTTTTCGTACTTGGAAAAATCCGCAAGGAGTATTTTATTTATTTGTGGTGTGATGTAAAGTTTTACTGGCATGGATAGGAAAAAAAACAAAACATTAATTTCATATCAGTTTTACTTTGCAGTACCTGTGGGTATATATACAAACATACAGTGCTACTTGTTTGTTTTGCCGTTCCTGCCATCTTTAGATGATCGTCTCCCGTTACGCATCTGGTAGTGCTTGCTATAGTCTGCTCTTGTCTCGTAACGATTCCCTTCCTCGCTCATATTTTAAATCTTAATCCTTCTACGTGGCCACTGCAACGACATGCTCTAACAAAAACCTATGTTGGACCGTTATTTTTCAAGAATTTACGTGCAGAAACTATTTGGCATTTATTTTTTAATGGAATTTCCAAGTTTCATTTCTGCCCATATAAAATTTATACATAATCATGTATGCTTTTGAATAAAATGTAAACCTTGTCAAAATGTTCACACTTTGTAGTTTGAAGTTCCCCGATAAACACTAATGCTATGAAGATTGAATTAAATAGTTATTTTTTATAATTGACGTACACTCCCTGCTAAGTGTCGGCATAACACATATTATCCTTTGTCGCCGATCAGGCGCAGATGTGAGTAATAAACGGAACTCGCAAATAAACCTCGACGCTTTCAGGGTGTCCGAAAAAATAGTTCTTTTATGGACGTTATTACCACATGCGCTCAAACAATTTTTTCGTCTTAACCGAAAGCACGAAACAGAGAACACAAGCGAAGGCAACTATACCGGTCAGTGGAAGATCAGATGTGTTGGTTTTATTTCTTTTTACTCGAAGAGTATAGGGCTATATTAGATTTGTGGTAAAAGTGGATGTGAATAACGCAGAGAAGGAAACGTTTCCGACCCCATAAAGTATATATATTCTTGATCAGCATCAATAGCCGAGTCTATATGGCCATGTCTGTCTGTCCGTCTTGTTGAGCGCCTAGATCTCAGAGACTAACCAAATTTGGTTTCCAGACTCATGTGATATCACACTGCTGCAAGTGTATTTCAAAATTTTGCCCCGCCCCCACAAATAACGAAAATCTGTGACAGGCACAATTTTAAAGATACGATAAAACGCAGTATGGTAGAGAATGACCATATCTACCAGATTGCCGAATCTGAATCAGATCGGATCATAATTATAGCCAGAATGAAGAAATGAATTTTAAGTTTCTTCCCCCGCCACCATCTAGCTAGAGACACGCTGCTCATTCTCTTTCCCGCTCGCACACTCTGCCGCGTTTTGGCGGCTTGGCCAATGTACGCTCTATCTGTCGTTTAGTATAACTCTTTATCTCTTAATATTTGATTACAATGTCTGGTCGCGTGTCGTCGTAGTTGCTGAAGCTGCTAACTTGTCGAGAGTTCGTTGCTGGAGCTGCCATCTCGTCTCGAGGTTGTTGCTGGCCCTGCCAGAGGGCCGCGATCCGGGTTGCCACAGTACTCCCCCTAGATAAGTGCCAAATATTTAGGTTTGATTTTTCTTTGCATATGTCCGCGGCACATTCGACTGCTGATCTTCCGTAGGGCTGGTCTCGTCGTTTGCTATAAATGCTGGCTTAAGCCGGTCGATTGAAATGGCTGTCTCCTTTCCATTAATCCGAATCAGGAAAACCCGGTCTGATGACTTGGATATAATCTGGTATGGTCCCATGTACGGCGGCTCCAAGGGTTGTTTCACCGCATCAGTTCGGACGAAGACATGTGAGCAATTTTGAATGTTTTTAAGCAGGAAGAGTTTATGTGTGCTGTGATGCGAAGTTGGAGTTGGCTTCACCATTCTTTTCCGGAACTGACTGGCAAAGTCGAGTGGGTTCGAAGGCGCGTCTAGGTCGTAAAAGAATTCGTTTGGAAGGCGTAGAGTACAACCATATAACATTTCTGCTGCTGATGCCTTAATGTCCTCCTTGAAGCATGTGCGGAGGCCCAGCATGACGGTCGGAAGCAGCTTGGTCCATGGTGTATCCGGTTGGCACATCAAAGAGGCTTTCATAGACCTGTGCCAACGCTCGATCATGCCATTTGACTGGGGGTGGTATGGCGTCGTGTGAATGTGCTCGCTTCCCAGCATATTGGCCAGTGATTTGAAGAGTGCCGACTCGAATTGAGCTCCTTGATCGGTTGTAATAGTCAATGGGCAGCCGAAAAGTGAAATCCAGCGCGAACATAGTGCCTCAGAAATGGTCTCTGCAGTCATATCCTTTAATGGCACAGCCTCTGGCCAGCGAGAAAAGCGGTCGATCATTGTCAGGCAATATCTGTATCCGTCAACCAAGAGCATCACGACAATGTCTAGATGTATGTGATCAAACCTTCCATCGGGAACGGTGATCTTTTCCGGGATCACAGCGTTGTGCTTATGAATTTTGGCTCGTTGGCACGGGAGGCAGTTCCTTGACCACTCCAGAACATTTTTGCGCATTGACGGCCACACGTATTTTCGAGAGATTTGTCTTAGAGTTGACCTGCCACTTGGGTGCGACAGTCCGTGTACGTTTGAAAATACATGGAATCGCAAGGACTGGGGAATATATGGCCGAGCTGTTCCTGTTCCCATATCGCAATATAGGATATCATCGTCGACTGGAATCGCTTGTAGATTTAAAGATGTGTCGCCATTTAAAATCTCAGACAGCTCGGTGTCCGTTGCCTGGGCAGTTTCAATAGCTTTTGTGTCCAGAGTCGTCGGCATCGTGATGGCGTTAGTCCTGGAGAGGGCATCGGCAACCACGTTATCAGTGCCACTCACATGCAAGATTGTAGTTGAGTGTTGGGATATGAACCCCAGCTGTCGCAGCTGTCTCTCTGAAGCTTTTTCTGGTTTCTGGTTGAAGGCGTATATCAGCGGCTTGTGATCAGTCTTAATCACAAAAATCCTGGCCTCCAACATGTGTTTGAAATACTTTATAGCCTCGTAAATCGCTAAAAGCTCTCTATCATAAGTGCTGTACCTTCTTTCAGTAGCGCTGAGTTTTTTGGAGAAGAAACCGAGAGGCTGCCATTTCCCTTTCGTATTTTGTTCAAGTACCGCTCCAATGGCTGTGTCGGAGGCGTCACAAGTGAGACTTAGTTCTGCATTAAGACTGGGATGAGCGAGCGTTGCGGCGTTAGCTATGCTATTTTTGCAATTGTCGAATGCTTTAATCGAGCTTGGCGTCCACTGCACTGGTCGTTTGTCATTTTTCTTCATGTTGCGTGTCAAATCGTTGAGTGGTGCCTGGGTCTCTGACGCATGAGGTATGCAGTGACGGTAATAGTTAACTATACCAAGAAAGCGACCTAATTCGCAAATAGTTTGTGGCCGAGTGTACTCAGTGATCGCCTTGACTCGATCCTCTGGGGGTTTAATTCCGTTACCGTTAGCTGTGTAACTTAAGAACGTCACTTCAGGTTGTGCAAAATGACACTTCTTCACGTTGATGCAAAGTCCATGCGCTTTTAAGATTTGTAGAATCCTATCCACGTGTTGTCTGTGCTCGTCCACTGAGTTGGACATTATGAGAATGTCGTCAATGTAGCAAAAGACGTATTCAACCGCTTGGAAGATCTGATCCATGAAACGCTGGAACGTTTGTGTCGCATTTTTCAGTCCAAATGGCATTTTTACGAATTCAATTAGCCCGAACGGTGTGCATACCGCTGTTTTTTCGATGTCTTCTGGGGCCATCGGTATTTGATAGTATGCTCGTTCGAGGTCTAGTGTAGTGAAAACGCTTTTGCCATATAGTCGGTCAGCAAAATCGTGAATGTGGGGAATCGGGTAACGATCTGGAACGGTGATGGCATTAAGCTTGCGATAGTCGCCGCAAGCCCGCCATCCACCACTGCTTTTTGCTACCATGTGCAACGGGCTGGCCCATGGACTTTTGGAGTATCTGCAGATTTTGTTGTCAATTAGTAGATGTATCTGTGCTTTAGCCACAGATAGTTTCTCTCCCATGAGTCGCCTGGGCCGATCTGCTACGGGTGCTCCAGTTGTTGTTATGTAGTGGCGAGCTGAAAGTGAATCGGATGCGTTCATGTTGTCGATGTGTAGGTGCTCGCCTTGCTCCGTTTTATCGTCATTTGGCGAAGCAAAATCCTGCGAGATTACGGATATGCTTGTGCCGTTGGTAAGACGTTGTTTCTTGATGTCAACGAGCAAATGGAACTGTGCTAGGAAGTCAGCGCCAATTATTGCCGATTGTACATCAGCGACGACAAATGACCATTTGAAGGAACGATCCAGGCCCAGGTCGAGTTCCAGGTCCTGATGTCCAAAGGTTCGTATGGTAGTCTGGTTCGCGGCATACAATTCCAGTTTACTTTCTCTAAGTTTGCGTTGAGCCATGGCGCAGGGTATAGCCGACACCACCGATCCGGAATCGATGAGAAAGGTCCGACTAGTGTTTTGATCTTGGATGTGCAGTCGGTGATCGTGATTCCCGGATGACATGTCGCTGGTCGTTGAGATGCTACCGCCTACCAGCTGAGTTAGCGGTAGCAGCTTTAGTTTAACTGTTGATAATATCGGCAGTCTGGGCGGCACTTGCGTGCCCGATCACCGAACGTGATGTGGTAGTAGCAAAGGGTTGCATTGTTGACATCATTGTTTGCGCTCGTGCCATTTACTGGCTGAGGAACCTTGGGCTTCTTGGCGGCGTGCATGTCGTGTTGTAGCTTATCCACCTTCTGCGTTAGAATATGCAGAGCAGCACAACGTCTTTTAAATTTGGATTGTTGCTACTTACCGCCTCCACGCTGTGCTGCCTTTGCTCAGCGGGCTTGGGTTGAGTCGACATAACACCTATTGAGTCGATAGCGCTGTTTTCGAGCATCTTGTCGGCAATCTTTGCCAGCTTGTCCAGGTCGTTCTCTTCCCAAACCGAAATGAGTGGGCGAATCGACGAAGGTAACTCAGTGAAGAAAAGGTTTCGTATTACGGCTTCGCACCCACTAGCAGGTGCTAAGCGACGCAAGTGAGTCAAGATCTCCAACGGCTTCTTCCCAGTCATGTCGCCACCCCGGAGAAGTCGTCTCATTTTCGAATCCTCTGATTCGCCGAAAGTTTCGAGCAGCCGACGCTTCATTGCGTCGTACTTGTTGTCAGTAGGTGGCCGAGTAATGAGATCTTCGATTGCACGGGCTGCATCGTCCTCCAGTTGTACTGACACCAGGTCAAACTTGTTGTCGTCGCGCACCACATTGTGTAAACTAAGGAGGCGCTCTAGTTGTGCGAACCAAAGTGTCGGATTCGATTTGTTGAATTTTGGGATGACGATTTGAGCTAAGTTTTGAGAATTTACAGCTGTTGGCTGTGCGTTTACTAGTTGAAGTTGCTGCAGTTGCTCTCTTAACTCGTTTAGTGTGGACTCCGTGTTCGCCATGTTTATTGCGTCGTAGAACTTGTCGTCTTCTGCCGGTTTGCTTTTGGTCAAAGAACGCAAAAAATAGTGCTGATTTTGCATTTGCCGTTGTTTTTAAACGTAGGGGTCACCACTTTGGCGGCTTGGCCAATGTACGCTCTATCTGTCGTTTAGTATAACTCTTTATTTCTTAATATTTGATTACAATGTCTGGTCGCGTGTCGTCGTAGTTGCTGAAGCTGCTAACTTGTCGAGAGTCCGTTGCTGGAGCTGCCATCTCGTCTCGAGGTTGTTGCTGGCCCTGCCAGAGGGCCGCGATCCGGGTTGCCACAGCGTTATGTACGCGAGCGCCCTCTAGCGGAGGAGATGTAGGATCTAAATGGAACATGTATAATATACACGTTAGATGTATAATTGTACATTGTAGATGTAGATAACAGATGTGTTTTTTTTTTAATTCTAAAATTCTAAAAAATTATAAGTTCAAAAATGAATATACAGACTGAGTGCGGGTATAAGTAGAGTCGCGTCCCCAGGAGCGACTTACGCGTTCCTTCTCGTTTATTATAGAGTTGGGTATCTGACATTATTTGACACGATCACGTTAAAAAAACGTTTTTGAGATAAACCTCACCGTTTAATGAGCAGTCTTTTCCGCATACTGATGCCCTCATCTTCTAGGGCGATTCTGCTCCTTGCCACAGTTAAACATTGGTCAACAATATTTTTTTAACTTTCTGTTAAATTGTTTTATGATTTATTTAAAAAGTTTGATTTTTAAAACGATAAGTTTTTTTATCGTTTTAGTTCTGAAAAGCTCACAAATGCAACTATAAATCGAACCCAGACACTTTGTATCTGCAGCTTAACGCCTGGAAGATAATTAAGCTTTCAAATTGAAAAAGGGTTGAATTTTTGATACCTGAACGTGTTCCTTTGGCATTAAATGTTGTTCACAGTTACTTTTACTCCTTATACCAAATTGTGTAAATTTAATTTAACAACATTTAATAAAGACAAAAAGTAATTTACCCTAAATCACAAGCTGTTAAGTGTACAAAAAATACTAAACATTCTTTTTTTCTTACAATAGCTGGAATCGGGAGATCTATGAAATTTGGTTACCCGAAACAATCTGGTCAAGGCTTTACGCTAACTGCTCGTCCATTACCGTCACTAAAATGCAGGAGGAGGAGAGGAGAAGTCGTCTTCGTCGCATGGAACAACGGATTCAAGTAATGAACATTGCAAGCCTCTTTCACATGAACAATTGAACTATTTGGTGAGGATCCTGGATCTTCCCAAAAGTATATCCGAGCTGATTGGATCTTTTTTAAAAGATGCCCGTTTATTGAAGGAAGATGTCAAAATAACTCATTTCCGGACGAGTCATTTGCTTCACTCAAAATTTTATACAGGATTGCAAGGTGGTTACACAAAACACTGCTGCTTCCTGTGCCTATGGAATAGTAGAGCTAGAGAACAGCATTACTCAACAAAACTCTGGCCAAAACGGGAGGAACATACTTTGGAAAATTACAATATAAAGAATGCAGCTCTCGTGAAGTTTGAAGACGTTATTCTACCACCATTACACATTAAGCTGGGACTAATGAAAAATTTTGTTAAAGCACTGGATAAGGAAGGTGAATCGACGAGTTACCTGAAAACGGTTTTCCCACGTCAGTCGCTGGCAAAATTGAAAGAAGGCGTATTTTGATGGGCCCCAAATTCGAAAACTACTAAAAATTGGATTTGAAAATATTTTATCTACGAATGAAAAGCAGCCAGGAACTCATTCCGTTCGATTGGTTACAACAAATTTTCTTGGTAACAGCAGGAGTGATGATTACATTAATATCGTTCAAGACCTAATTGAGAATTATGAAGAATGTCACTAAAAATCTATTTCCTGCACTCCCACTTAGACTTTTTTCCGATACACCTAGGGGACGTTAGTGACGAACACGGAGAGAGATTTCACCAACAATTAAAAGCTATGGAACGACGGTATCAAGGTGTTTGGAATAGGAGGTGGCGTTAACCCGTATGAAACTTGGAGGCCAAATAAATCTTTCAACTAATCACGGCTGAAAGTAACTTAATATCAAAAAAAAAAAAACTGTTTGGAATGAGAATATGTTGGCGACTATGTGTGTACTCTCATAAGGGAATCTGATTGGAATGACAAAGGAGGACAGCCAGAAAACTTAAATTATTTTATGAACAGTAACAGCAGTACAAAACCAAATTTATCACATACGTTTAAAAACTTGTAGCAACGTAACACCAAATAAAAAGTTTGTATATCCTTAGAATTGACTGAAAAGACTAAAAATTATTGATTGTTGTATGGGTTAGGGAATGCAATTCTATATCTCAGGTATTTCTACTATGATTTCATTGAAATATGAATAGGTAGAGGCGAAAAATGTCTAATTTGTGTAAAAATAAAGGTCAACATTTGACCTGAACAGGTATCCGTACCTCAGATTGGGCACAACAAAAGAAAGTAACTGTCAACAACATTTAATGCCAAATAAACACGTTCAGGTACCAAAAATTCAACCCTTTTTTGTTTTCTTTGTTCCCAATTGGCAGTTGGACCAGCAACGTACCGGACGGTATTTTTCAGGTAAAATTAGTTTTGAGTCGTTTTGGTCAAACGGCTGCAAGTTGACCGTTTATCCATAGATTTTAATGAGCAATACCTTAAACGACGCCTAATTAATGCGTCTATCTAAAACCAAGAAAAATTCTAAAAAAATACGTCATAAAAAAACCATAATTCGTTAAAAATTTGGAAACCCCGAAATCTATAAGAAAAAGTTATTTTGGGCCACAGCTTGAAAACTACTGTAATCTTTAGGACATCATCAATATTTTTTATATGAAAGCTGATACCCAAAAATTTATTTGAATTGAAAAAAATATTAAAAAAAATTATAGTATCACAAAATAAACATCAAAAATATCTGAGATCTAGTAGATACCAAGCTTCCCATAGAAAACTAGTTATAAAACACACAGGATGTTGAAAAAAGTATTACTCTAGTTCATTATACATTCTTCAATGTTCATAGTATCAATCCTAATAGCAGAACAATTTGCTTACCTGATCAAAAACCTAGTGTGAATTTTTCTGTAAATAATTTTGAGTCCACATTTCAATGTCCGCTACTGTACATATATAGTAAATATTATATAGTACGGGTAAAAAAGTAGAGTCGCGGACACAGCAATGACACAACGTTGCTTCTCGTTTTTTTCATGAAACCTCAGATTTGAAAACTGTCTTAGCATATATATCTTTTATATATTTTTCTAGCGGTGTGTGACCAGTGTGCACTGCATTTCGTACGGTTAAAATGCTCAGACAGCTGAATGGTTTTGTTTAAAGTAAACAAAGTTAATGAAATACAATGCTTCGGCTGGGATCGCTCTTCCCCAGGTATATCCTGGACTCCCCAATATTTTATTGGCAAAGGAGTGTCTGGCATCTGGCTGGATGCCGACGCCTACCGTCAAACCGATTGAAAAATGAAATAATAATTTATAATATCCATATAATTTTCCTTCATATATTTGCCTTAGTTAGATTCTATTTGTCTTCATTATTTAAATATTTCATTTGGTTTTTATACCCGTACTCAAAAAAGAGTTAAGGGGCATATTAGATTTTTGGTAAAACTGGAAGTGAATAACGCAGAGAAGGAAACGTTTCCGACCCCATAAAGTATATATATTCTTGATCAGCATCAATAGCCGAGTCGATAGAGCCATGTCTGTCTGTCCGTCTGTCTGTCTGTCTGTCCGTCTTGTTGAGCGCCTAGATCTCAGCGACTATAAGAGCTAGGGCAACCAAATTTGCTTTCCAGACTCATGTGATATCACACTGCTACAAGTGTATTTCGCCCCGCACCATTCCGCTCCACAAAAGCCGAAAATCTGTGGCAGGCACAATTTTAATGATACGATAAAACTAAAAACGCAGTATAGTAGAGAATGCCCATATCTACTAGATTGCAGAATCTGAATCAGATCGGATCATAAATATAGCCAGAATAAAGAAATTAATTTTCAGTTGCTTCCCCAACCTCTTTTAGAAAGAAACCCGCTTCTCATTCTCTTTCTCGCTCGCACACTCTGACGGGTTCCGTGGTAGCAAGAAATGTAAAATGTAAAATTTTGTTTTTAAATTCTAAAATTCTAAAAAATCAAAAATGTATGTACTGACTGAGTACGGGTATAAGTAAAGTCGCGTCCCCAGAAGCGACTCACACGTTCCTTTTCGTTTTAATATAGAATAAACAAATGGTTAAATGGATATACACATGTAAATAAATATACATATTCAGGTAGGCTCCGGTCGTAAAACGAAAGACTTTTCCGTTTTAAAAACGGCAATAACTTCCTCGCCGAAATTAAAAGTAAACGGCTTTTTATAAAACTAAACAATTCTTAATTGCAAAAGGACAAAAATATATGACTTAATGATGCATAGATATGAATTTGACACCATTACCAGTGCAATTGAGCTTGTGCCCTTTTTATAAATAATTTTTATTTAAACCAACTTCAAAATTAGATTCAAAAGATGGGTCAGGGCAACAACAAATAGTGAATTTCTCCGAAAAGCTGTGGCAGCCCGATTTGGCTATCGATAAATCTCTGTTAAACATAACAGTGGCATTTTTTTATGAGCCTTAAATAGAGTAAACAAATTCACAAATGTGGATTCCAGATCGCCTTGAATTAAAAAGTATGAATTTTTACTGAAAAGTAAATGTGAAAACCGGAGCCTGCCTGAATGTATATCATAATTGACTTCATATACGAAAGTCATAGCATCCTGTATGTATTCTTGCATATGATGTGGACTGCCCACATATGATGATGGAAGAATTATAGAGTTACCAATTTCACCAGCTTCGCCATTGTTGATAGCGTCTCTCAAGTGAATATCTTCTTTTGCACGCAGTTTCTTCTAATTATGTCGTATGAATATCCGTCATTCACTTTCTATCTTTGCGTACATGTCGACAACAAAATGTTGGCACAATTCACGACATCGTAGAATAATGGTATCCTGGCCGCGTCGAATCCTCATACGATACGCATAAAAATCCATCGAACTGACTTTCGCGTTTGTTTCGACTCCTGTTGCGTGATCTCGTTGTTTAATATTAATACAGTCCCTTCCAGTAAATTATTCGATATTGGAGAGCGTCATATAATCGGTGTGTGTCGGCGATGAACTAAAAATTTTTATTTTTTTTTGAATCGCAATTTCTCCAGTCGCTGTGCGATCGCCAGTCGTCGTCAGTCACGAGGGCAATCTACGTACGTGCTCACCATCTGGTGTTTTATTAGGATTGATGACAATTGCGTGATTGTCACTTTCCAATTTGTGCATGTGTGATTTTAATAATTTCAATAACTCATTGTGCTGATTAAGTTATTCGTCCAGCTCTCTAACTATGCGCCTGGGTATTGCCGAATTGAGGTTATGGTAACCGCAACGTGCATCTACGCGATTGGAGAGTGCGCGATGTTGGTCCTCACCACCCATTAAGTATATTTGTAAAAACTGATGAAAATCGGTCTCAAAAAACACTAAAATCGTAATTAAAAGTTAATGGGTGGTAATATGAAGATCAAAAATACTTTACAACCTATTCTCAGACCTACTTAATATATGAGAAAAATTGCATGTAAATCGGTCGAGCCGTTTGGGAGGAGTTCAACCACAAACACCGTGACACGATATTTATATATTTTATATATTTATATATAGATAGATAAGTACATACATATGTATATGTATGTAAGTACATTGGTTTCGAAGAATTAGAATGAATTTTTTTACTAACAGTAGATGGAATGTTTTATGTTTTATGGAACAATTTTATGAAATTAATAAAGCCCATACTTTGCGCTTAGCCCCGAAATAGTTTTTAAATATGTAGTTTTTAATATATTTTCCAAAACCCGTCAGCTCAGAAAACTTTTTAAAAACCTGGGGATGCAATTGCAACTTCAATTCTTTTAATAGCTACATATGAACGATTTGTTCCAACTTTTAAATCGAACAATATCGTTAAGATAAAATTTATAAAAATCAAATGCTGGACTTTGTGGCATATTTCTTAGATATACGATTTCTTCCTCATAAAATAACTGAGGAACCATCAATTAAAGCAATTGCATTAACACATTCTGAAAGGTATTCATTGTTATTAAAGAATGTGTTGAAAAAAGGAATGTTGCTAGTTCAAGCCCATGCGACTCTCATATGCGAGATTTTAAAATATTTCATAAAAGATTTGCTGATTAATCACTTAAAGCGGTTCTTAGAAATACTGCAAAAAGATCAGAATTAAAATAGACTAGAACAGAGTTTCGACTTAGTGATTCCATTTAAAAGGCTATGACGAGACTCAATTTCATTTCGACTCTTGAGGTGGAAACTCAAATGAAAAATGCACTCACTCACTCATACAGAGAAACTCTCTCGTGGTGGTTGGTTGAAATTTCACTTCGCTCTCGCGGAGTTTTTTGAAGTTGCTCTTGAAAGTGCTGTTTACGCCAGCAAACGGACCGTTTAAATTAATAATTTTTAAATAAATCGAACGAAACTGTAGGCCAAGCGTGCTAATATACGGCTAATCTAATTCAGAACTTTCGTTGAGGGTGTACTCCTCGCTCCTTGTCGCGTGTGCTTTATTCTTGCGAGATTCCTTCGTGCTGGATACGGTTGTGGTTGATTACATACATACATATATGCATACATTTTTACAAATCCAGTTCTCGTTTTGTTGTGTATGGCTGTGTCTATGCCTATGCGTGTACATATGCATGTATGAACATAAAGAGTGGAGAGTAAAATTACATGTTTATCCTGAAGAAAAAGCGTATTTCAGTGTATGTATGTATGTACAAATAAACAAAATAATTTACATGTTACATATATTTACAAAACCATTCATATATAACTACAAATGCACATTAGTACGAATCATTTCATAAAAAATCAATGCCTACATATATGAACACATAAATGTACTTTTCCGTTTTATGCATACATATGTATGTATGTATGTATGTATGCATGTATTTAAATTATATTAATTTTCATACAGCTTTAGATAAAAATGCAAGGTTTTCATTACACTGCAGGTGGGCGTGCAAGTGTATGATGTGCATATGTTCATAGCTACATACATAGCTGTTGTATGTTGCGCTTATTTTAATAATTTTTGGATCATTATAAATGCATGTACATATACAAACAAATACATCTGCACATATATATGTATTTACCTCTGTGCGTACTTTTGTACGCACATGCGTTTAAGCCTATTTCTCAGCTTATCTGATCAATTTTTAACAAATAGATTTGAATACGTCAATATCCAATTAAATAATTATGGTACGTTTGCCAGTAATATAATGAAAATAATGCAATTTTATCTACATATGTACACATGTAAATACTGTAATAATTAAAAAAAAATCAGTGAATAATATTTATTAAATATGTAAATAGCGCTGGACATAAACAATCCCCGATAAAAAGCAGGGCCGGTCTTCATTTATAAAAACGAAGATTTATATCTTTACATCCGTATGTATTGAAAATACAATAAAAAAAAAATAACTGTATTTACATATATACATGTGTACGTATTTAGAAGAGATTGGGTATGTATCGAAAAACATTTGTGTTTGCAAGTGTCCATTAAAAAAGGTATATATGTAAATGCATTGCTGATATTCTCTTATATGTGCATGCATATATCTACAAGATTTACTTTGTTTTGGTTTTGTCTGCTTGTATATATATATTAATGTATGTACGTATCGGCTTCAAATCCATCTGTATGTAGCTATCTTTGTGTGAGTGCGCGTGTCCATGTTTGTAACCAGGATGAACTATATTATAGGTGGTCTGATTTGTTTGCATGGTCATTATTTATTGGCGGGAAAACCAAGTGCATTCCTTGGTTTTTACATACATATGTATGTAAGTGTGTACATATGCATTGATTTCAGGTATATGCCCGGTACTCAAAGAGTATTTGGGTATTTTAGGTTCGTGTGGATGTATGTAACAGCCAGAATAAAGCACATAAATATGTACATACATTCTTGACCAGCATCAAGAGCCGAGCCGACATAGACATGCTTGTCTGTCCTTATTGTCTCTATCACGCTCTTCGTCTATTTGCAAAGTGAAATACAGTGGAATCAAACGAGAAGGAACGTGTGAGTCGCTTCTGGGGACGCGACTCTACTTATACCTGTAATCAGTCAGTATATACATATTTTAGAATTTTACAATTAAAAAAAAATTAAAAAATTGCTACATCTGTTATCTACATCTACAACTACAATGTATATTTTACATCTAGCATGTAGATTATAGCTGTACCATTTATATTCTACATCTCCTCCGCTAGGGGTTGCTCGCGCACTGAACGAGGCAGAGTGTGCGAGCGAGAAAGAGAATGAGTAGCGGGTCTCTTGCTAAATGAGGCGGGGGAAGCAACTGAAAATTAATTTCTTTATTCTGGCTATAATTATGATCCGATCTAATTCAGATTCGGCAATCTGGTAGATATGGCCATACTGCGTTTTTAGTTTTCTCGTATCTTCAAAATTGTGGCTGCCACAGATTTTTGTCCTTTTGTGGGGGCGGAAGGGGGCGGGGCGAAATTTTGAAATACACTTGTAGCAGTGTGATGTCACATGAGTCTGAAAACCAAATTTAGTTGCGCTAGCTCTTATAGTCTCTGAGATCTAGGCGCTCAACAAGACGGACATGGCTTTATCGACTCGGCTATTGATGCTGATCAAGAATATATATACTTTATGGGGTCGGAACCGTTTCCTTCTCTGCGTTGCACACATCCACTTTTACCAGAAATCTAATATACCCCTTAAAGCCTAGTACCCCGATCGAAAAAAACACCTCGCGAACAGAATCAAGGTTGATAAGAAATTTTTTATTGCAAAAACTGTTCACTAGGCTCTGTACGGAAGGCAGTACTCAGATCAACAAAAAAACGAGAAGGAACGTGTGAGTCGCTTTTGGGGACGCTCCTCTACTTATACCCGTACTCAGTCAGTATATACATGTTTGAGCATATGTTTTTTTAGAATTTTAGAATTAAACAAAAAAGTTTACATTTTATATTATTTTGCTACATCTGTTATCTACATCTACAATGTATATTTTACATCTAACATGTAGATTATAGATGTACCATTCATATTCTACATCTCCTCCGGTAGGGGTTGCTCGCGCACTGAACTCGGCAGAGTGTGCGAGCGAGAAAGAGAATGAATGACGTGGTCGTTTGATGGAGGGGGCAGGGGAAATAACTGAAAATTAATTTCTTCATTCTGGCTATAATTCGGCAGTCTGGTAGATATGGGCATTCTCTACGATACTGCGTTTTAAGTTTTATCGTATCCTTAAAAATGTGCCTTCCACAGATTTTCGTCCTTTGTGGGGGCTGAAGGAAGGCGGGGCGAAATTTTGAAATACACTTGTAGCAGTGTGATATCACATGAGTCTGGAAACAAAATTTGCTTGCTCCAGCTTTTATAGTCTGAGATCCAGGCGCTCATCACGCGGCTATTGATGCGATCAGGGGCAGTACGGGTACAAAAAGACGGACATGGCTAGTATCGACTCGGCTATTTGTATGCTGATCAAGACCATTCATTGTACGCTTGTATGGGTCGCCGAAACGGTTTCCTTCTTTGCATTGCACGAATCTATTGGTTGAGCCAATTATTTCGTGGCCAGCAAATTTAATAACAAAATTGAGTAAAATTATAAAAAAGAAAATAAATTATAATAAAATAATAACAAAACCATAACAAAGTATAGGTAAATAATAATACAAAAATAATACTAATAATTATAATTAATTTTTTTTCCTATCGAACATTTTTTGTAGTACCTCACCGTGCGTAGTGGTCTCACATTATGGGCTGATCAAACTATGCCATATATTTGTGACCAGCAAACACCGAAGTCGATTGCCGAAGCCATACGAAGCGGGATGCGGTGTAAGCGCGCACAAAAAACCACATGAAATAATTTTCTTGACACGAGCAAACATTGCAATAAGAGCACAAAAAACCAAATGAAATAATAATGAAGACAAATAGAATCTTATTAATGCAGTATTATATGAATGACAATTATATGGATATTATAATTTATTATTTTTATTAATTCCCATAAATATAAAACAAATATTGTTTTCAAAACATTTTTTCTTCACGGTGTCCGGCACGGGTGGCGTCGCCATCTGCTGCTGCTGATAGTCAGACACATTACCTTGCCAATAAAATATTGGGGAGCCCAGGATATGCCTGAGGAAATATGCCGACCCCAGCCGAAGAAGTGCATTTTATTAACTTTAAACAAAACCAAGCAGCGGGGTGAGCAGTGTAACCGTTCGGAATGCAGTGCATACCTCTGGTCACACCACTGGCCGCTCCAAGAATATATGACATTTGTTTGCTGGCAAAGAGTGTTTGGATCTGAGTACTAGGCTTAACTCTTTTTTGAGTACGGAGTATAACCACTTTGTTCCTCAGGTTTTCCTTACGCAAGCCTTACTTTAACACAAAAAAATTTTGATTTATTAATATTTAATTCATTTAACACACTAAATTCATAGAAAAACATTTTAATTATTTCGAAATTTGTTTACTCTAATTTTCACTTTGACTTTCAGTTATCAACTGACACAGATTTGTACAAGTGTATATAATTTCAAATGCATATAACCAGTACCCATACAATATATGCTCCTTCATACAACGAATATGTCGTAGCTGGGATCTTTGCGGACGGTACCACACACTTCGGCTCATGCAATCGGCTCGTGTCGAACCTGTATCGTCATGTTCGGCTGGAACCGAGCTCGACTGCAACCTAGCTCTGAAAATGTGTGTCTCGTGTAACACACAAAAATGTATGATTGTGTGCTCATTCCCATTCGCAGCTCTCGAAACCGGTTTTGTCTTGAGGTTCGAGGCTACGTAAATGTGTGTGCCACGTATTCTCACATACTGTGGGTGCATGGGTTTTTTGTTCGCGGTTTTTGGTGATTTTTGTCTTCTCAGTTCACATACCATTTTACCTTAGGATTTTTGTATTATGATCATTTTTGAAGAATCTTGCCCCATAATATCAGAAGAACTGTTAGTTTTTATTTCATTTCTATGCTAAAACACATTTAATATAACCAATAAAACTAAATATAGACACTAAAATTATGAATAATTAAAATATCAATATATGGTTGAAATTTTGAATGCAAATACAATAAATATTAAAAATACACAGTTTCATGTGTTTTTGCGACAATTTCCGTCAAAATATTCGCGTACTTTGCAGAGTTGGGGATGATTAATATTTCGGAGCATGATAATTGGCACACATATTTTCAATTGCATCGAAAACTCGTACTGCATTCTTCACCGTTTCTGCTCGAACACCAAAAACTTCCATATCTCTGACTTTATTCCCGTACTCGCAGATGTATTTGATCGATTTCACGGAATTGAAATATTCTAGGTTTATGTGCACTTTGTATGATTTTGACAACAGAGGCGAATATGAAACCAACGATTCACTACTTCAATATCACCAATTCGCATGTGTAAAGTTGCCGAAATCTTCCAATGAACGTCTCCTATACGTCTCCTGTTACCGTGTTTGCTCTAAATACTCGAGTTATCGCTTGGAACATTTCCCGTCTACCATGCATGTTGAACTCGGATGGATTGAACCGCATAGTATATATCAGCGGTGGGTACGAGATATAACGGGAAGAGCCACTGCGCAGCCAGACAATTAAAAAAACAAACACCACCGTCGCTTGTTGTTGCTTTAATTTTCATGTGCGTAGCACAAAACACATAATGCATTGTTGCAATCTCGAGAGCGCGGCTTAGAAGCATTTTTGCACCCGCTTTGACGTCAAATTTCAGTGGCATTGTTTTTGTAAAGTTTCACGGATCGCTGAACGCAAGCGCCGACCGTCTGGGACGACTTGCAGGCGCCTCCCAAAAAACATAACGGAAAGAGCCGCGGTAGCTGAAAGAGCTACGGCGTTCCCACCTCTGGTCTATAGGTTAGGTTTAGGTCTATGGATCATGTCCTTGAGTTTCTGCGACGTTTTTCAATTGATCGTTACGTCGATGGAAAACAATATCGCGAGGTTGGAACTGATACCCGACTATGAAAATTTGCCACTTCGTCTGTAGTTGGAGCATTATATCTTCAAACATGTTCTCCATCTGGTAATTTGTTATTTGTCTAAAGAAATTTATTTTCGAGGGAATCGAAAACAATACTATCATTTGACAGCCCTGGAAAATCCTACTTTATACAACAATACTTAAATCTCGATTTTCCGAGCTTCTGTCGCTTGTATTGACATAAAAATAAGATAAAAACCAAGCTTAAACCTGACTCTATAGTGTGTTTAAATTTGGGCTCAAACGGTTCAGTACTTTTCAAATGCATAAATGTTGGAGAAACGAACACAACATTTTTATATATATAGATTACTAGGTGGCAACCCCCCAGTCTTTTATATCATTTTATATGTAGATCTTTATTAAAAAGTTATTTTTGTGTTGTATTTGTATCATTTCATTCATATCCATAAAAAACATCATCTCGTATTATTTCCATTTAATCGTGAAGCATTAACATCAGCAAATGTAGCCATGTAGCCTTTATTCACTTACTTGTGAATATATTTTATAGATTTCACTGAACTGCAGAACTCAACATTAATGTGAATGCTTTGCTCAGCAGAGGAGAATACCCATCGACTGTCAATGTCTACGTTCTTATATTTTATCATGAATGATTGTAATATACAATTTAACATTTTGAAATGCAATACAAGTCTTGAAGTCATAGGTCTAAGTACAGAAAATCTCTCGCAAAACATAAATAGTTTTAGTGTGTACTGTGCCCTAAACATCGACCTACAAACTTTCGAATCAGGATGTAAGAATTTATTTACTAAAGCAGCTTCGTTAAATGGTCTGACTTTTATAGGAGGCGACCTTAATGCCAAATCGTCCATATGGGGAAACATCATACAGAATGCTAGAGGTAATTATTTGGACAGAGCTTTATTGAATTCAGGTTTTTCTTGCATAAATAAAGGCTCTCTAACTTTTTCACTCAATCCTAATTATTCTTCAGCACTAGACATTACACTGGTAAATAATAATAACATAAGCTGGTGTGTTCAAAATTACAAAATTTCAAACAGCAACCATTTCCCTATAGTTATTGATATTTCGAACTACTCTATCAAACCTATCAATAAAATTGTACACAAAAGAGTAATCGAGGATTTCTCTAAGATATAAAAAGGCACATTAGAAAACCTAAATAATTCAACCAAAAAAGTAATCTCAAATAATACCATAAAATTATCTGTAAATAACAACTATATTAATAAAAAAATACTGGGACGAGGCGAGTGAAAGACTTTTAAGAAGTTTAAAAATTAAAAGTCTTAAGTTACATAAACAAATCAAGCCAACAAAAAGTACTTGGAATGATTTTGAACATCAAGATTTTCTTAAGCAAATTGCAGACGTACCAAACACTAACTCTTGTGAGCATACTACCATTCCAGAGCGATGGGACCATTCACTAACTATAACTAATTTAAAATTAGATGAACTTTTATTTTTTCTAAAATCCAGAAATCCCGACTCATCTAAAGGTTTATATAACACAAGGGAAGAAAATTGAACTTTTTGTGTGTTGATTGAAAACTGATTAAAGTTTTTTACTAATTTGAGGTCGCTGATTTCAAATCTGATCTCCATTTTTTTTCCATCAGATCGCGTTTTTTAGTTACACGTATTAATAGTATTATTGACTTTTTTCCATCAACAAAAAAATAAAAAGTCATAACATTACTCATTCAGCGATTTTCAAAAATTTAATTGTTTTGCAAAGCTAACAGTTACATTATTAAGAAAAAATAACTAGTTTTAAAATCGCCCGATGAGGAGTAAAGTTATGACTCTTTGAACTTGAAATTTTTGGAAAAAAGTCAAAAATACTTTTAGTACCTGTAACTTAAAAACGCGATCTGATTGAAAAAAAATGGAGATAAAATTTGAAATCAGCGACCTCAAATTAGCACAAAAAACTTTAACCAGTTTTCAATCAACACATGGCTCAGTAATAGTTGTTTAAATAAAAAAGAAAAAAGAACAAACATTTTTTTTCGTCAAGTTTATTGGCTGGGATTGTGGCTATTGGTGCTTTTATTAGCTTTATGTAAAATCATATTAAAGTAGGTTTTGTATATACATTTAATCTCTAAACAAAATAATTCTAATTTAAGAAAATCTTATAAAAGAAAATTTTTTGATTAGTTACAAGTACATTATAATACTTATAACTTTCTTTTTGGACTACCGATTGGAATGAAATAAACTTTATTTCATTTAAAATATGTTTAACTAAATGATTTTGGACCAAAAATTTTACTATTTTTTTTGTTATTCATTTTTAAACAAGAAAATATTTTTGTTTTCGTAATTTTTTTTTTTTTTTCAATGCTGCAGCGATATCACTGAATTTTTTGGGCAAATTCAAAACCAATGTAGGCTTTTTTTATCTGAATACGGTTAACGGGTTTCAAGTTAGTACACTATATGTAAGGGAAGTGCCTTAATGTTTGATATAACGGTATATCGCGAAAACTCGATCTGATAGGAAAAAACCAAGTACAGGGTTGGATTCAGCGTCCCCGATTACCTTAAAAACAACTTTCAGTTCTTAATCAACAAAACCCTTGTTCCCTTGTGTAATATATCTTATAAAAAGCTACTCTCTCTTTCCTTGGACCAACAAGAAAATCTTCTCTTATCATTAAACGAAATTTTCTTCAGTGGAATTATTCCGGATAGTTATTCCTGTACAAAAAAAAATGTGCACGCCTCCATAGTGTCAAACAACAAACCTATCTGCCTCCTAAGCGTTACATGGAATCTCTTATAAATAGGCACAATATACTGCTTAATAGATCGGATGCCTTTAGAAAAAAACACTCCATTGCACACTGCATAAATGATGTAATAAATAATGTAGCCAATCTCAAAGACAAAGGCTTTCAGGTTGTTGCAGCGGTTTTGGATATAAGCAAGGTATTTGACGCAGTCAACATACCTCTGCTATGTCGGAAACTAATTGATTTGGAGTTTCACATAGACTATATTAGGTTTATAGTTAGTTTTTTGGAGAAAAGGGTTTTAAATTACGGAAAACAGGAAAAACTGTTCACAAGGGTGTGTGTCAAGGTAGCTGCCTTAGCCCAATACTTTTTAATATCTATACATCAGATTTTCATTCTATAAATGATGAAAATTGTATTCTATTTCAGTATGCAGATGACTTTTTATACCCGTACTCAAAAAAGAGTTAAGGGGTATATTAGATTTGTGGTAAAAGTGATTGTGTGTAACGCAGAGAAGGAAACGTTTCCGACCCCATAAAGTATATATATTCTTGATCAGCATCAATAGCCAAGTCGATAGAGCCATGTCTGTATGTCCGTCTGTCTGTCCGTCTGTCTGTCTTGTTGAGCGCCTAGATCTCAGAGACTCTAAGAGCTAGGGCAACCAAATTTGGTTTCCAGACTTATGTGATATCACACTGCTACAAGTGTATTTCAGAATTTCGCCCCGCCCCCTTTCGCCCCCACAAAGAACGAAAATCTGTGGCAGGCACAATTTTAAAGATACGATAAAACTGAAAACGCAGTATAGTAGAGAATGCCCATATCTACCAGATTGCCGAATCTAAATCAGATCGGATCATAATTGTAGCCAAAATGAAGAAATTAATTTTCAGTTGCTTCCCCTGCCCCCTCATGCCTATGATCAAACAACTCATTTTCCTGCTCGCTCGCACACTCTGCCGCGTTCAGTGCGCGAGCAACCCCTAGCAGAGGAGATGTAGAATCTGAATGGTACATGTATAATCTACATGTTAGATGTAGAATATACATAGTATATGTAGATGTAGATAACAGAAGTTGCAAAAAAATGTAAAAATGTAAAATTTTTGTTTTTAATTCTAAAATTCTTAAAAATTTATAAGCTCAAAAATTTAAATACTGACTGAGTACGGGTATAAGTAGAGTCGCGTCTTTAGAAGCGACTCACACGTTCCTTCTGGTCTATTTTATGTTTTCACAAAGTTTTTGATTCGGCTAAGAACATTTTAAAACAGAAAATAAATGATTTCAATATGGTATGCAGCAGTAAAAACTTAAGATTCAATTCGACAAAATCTACCGTAAATCATTTTACTAATAGAAAACGTCCATTAAATATAGTACATAACAATGAAACAATAAAAGGTAGGTAAAGTAAATTATCTTGGTAGAATAATTACTGCCAATAACTCCTCAGTACTTCACATTGATGAAATAATTTCAAAATCAAATTAGAATAACATGTTTTTACAAATGCTCAGTAGATGTCAGTTCGGAGTTAGTCCAAGCAAATCTTTAAATTTTTACAAAGCCTTTGTACCCTCCAAATTAGAATACTCTTGTTCCTCATATAAAGTTCATATAAATTTTCATCTTAGGCGAGCACTAGGCCTAATAAAGTCCACCCCGGTAAATATAATTTACAATCTAGCTGCCGAACTTCCACCTGAATACAGACTAAAGTTTATTACAGCAAAGGAGCTGGCTAAGGTTTTTGTCTATGATCTTCCGGCGTCATCACTTTTGGTCCCTTGCGTCACGGAATACCAGCTACGCCAAAGTCTACGACGAGTTTAAAGACATTTTGAATGCAATTGTACCGATCACAGATGTATGTAGTTTTAACAACAAAATTTCAACACAGCTTTTTTTAAGGGCTCATGTCCAAACAAAAGATCTGCAAGTAATGCTCTCATAAATTCGTTAGCTCAAGAAAAACTAACTCATTTGAAATCTAAACAGTTCAATTGAATTTTCACGGATGGTTCAGTCACTGACAATAACGTGGGTTGTGCTTTTATCTATAAAGAATCAGGATTCGTTAAAAGTTTCTTTACCAACAAAAATTTATCGTCACTCACAGCTGAGCTTATAGCCATTAATAGGACCATTGACTTTGCCATTTCCGAAAACTTTCTTAAAACTGCAATCCTCACTGATAGTCTCAATGGGGTTTTAAATTTAAACAAGATCAACCCAGATAATTACATTGCCAAAGAAATAATAAACAAAATTGAAAACGCTCCCTGTTTGCTCGTAGTGGAATTTCATTACATTCCAAGCCATGTACACATAAAAGAAAATGAATTAGCCGATATTGCTGCAAAGAATGCTAAAATGAATGGCACATTCTTTATTTCTCGCTGGCCTCTTAAAGACGCCATTACAAATATTTATAAAAAAATTAAAGAAGATTGGGAAAGAGAATATATTACTTACGCCACGGAAAGAAATAAAGGTTACACAAAATTATTTCCTTATATACGGGACAAACCATGGTTTAAAGACAAAAACTGTAATCTAAGCCTTCTGCAAATCAAACAAGTCAACGGACTACTAAGTGGTCACGAAATAGACAAAGTTTCACTTGCTAAATGAAAGTAATAAATAACAATTTATGTGATACCTGCAACCTACCAGAAGACACTTCACATTATGTGATGCACTGAGGAGTCATTGGCAGCAATTATTCTACCAAGGTAATTTACGTTACCTACCTCTTTTAGTGTTTCATTGTTATATACTATATTTAATGGACGTCTTCTATTATTCAAATGAATTACGGTAGATTTTGTCGAATTGAATCTTAAGGTATTAATGCTGCATACCATATTGAATTCATTTATTTTCTCTTTTAAAATGTTCTTAGCCGAATCAAAAACTTTGTGAAAACATAAAATAAAAAAGTCATCTGCCTACTGAAATAGAATACAATTTTCATCATTTATAGAATGAAAATCTGATGTATAGATATTAAAAAGTATTGGGCTAAGGCAGCTACCTTGACACACACCCTTGTGAACATTTTTTCCTGTTTTCCGTAATTTAAAAACATTAAAACAGTTCAGTCACTGACAATAACGTGGGTTGTTCTTTTATCTATAAAGAATCAGGATTCGTTAAAAGTTTCTTTACCAACAAAAATTTATCGTCACTCACAGCTGAGCTTATAGCCATTAATAGGACCATTGACTTTGCCATTTCCGAAAACTTTCTTAAAACTGCAATCCTCACTGATAGTCTCAATGGGGTTTTAAATTTAAACAAGATCAACCCAGATAATTACATTGCCAAAGAAATAATAAACAAAATTGAAAACGCTCCCTGTTTGCTCGTAGTGGAATTTCATTACATTCCAAGCCATGTACACATAAAAGAAAATGAATTAGCCGATATTGCTGCAAAGAATGCTAAAATGAATGGCACATTCTTTATTTCTCGCTGGCCTCTTAAAGACGCCATTACAAATATTTATAAAAAAATTAAAGAAGATTGGGAAAGAGAATATATTACTTACGCCACGGAAAGAAATAAAGGTTACACAAAATTATTTCCTTATATACGGGACAAACCATGGTTTAAAGACAAAAACTGTAATCTAAGCCTTCTGCAAATCAAACAAGTCAACGGACTACTAAGTGGTCACGAAATAGACAAAGTTTCACTTGCTAAATGAAAGTAATAAATAACAATTTATGTGATACCTGCAACCTACCAGAAGACACTTCACATTATGTGATGCACTGAGGAGTCATTGGCAGCAATTATTCTACCAAGGTAATTTACGTTACCTACCTCTTTTAGTGTTTCATTGTTATATACTATATTTAATGGACGTCTTCTATTATTCAAATGAATTACGGTAGATTTTGTCGAATTGAATCTTAAGGTATTAATGCTGCATACCATATTGAATTCATTTATTTTCTCTTTTAAAATGTTCTTAGCCGAATCAAAAACTTTGTGAAAACATAAAATAAAAAAGTCATCTGCCTACTGAAATAGAATACAATTTTCATCATTTATAGAATGAAAATCTGATGTATAGATATTAAAAAGTATTGGGCTAAGGCAGCTACCTTGACACACACCCTTGTGAACATTTTTTCCTGTTTTCCGTAATTTAAAAACATTTTCTCCAAAAAACTTACTATAAACCTAATATAGTCTATGTGAAACTTCAAATCAATTAGTTTCCGATATAGCAGAGGTATCTTGACTGCGTCAAATACCTTGCTTATATCCAAAACCGCTGCAACAACCTCTAAGGCTTTGGATTTGAGATTGGCTACATTATTTATTACATCATTTATGCAGTGTGCAATGGAGTGTTTTTAAATTTTAAATTAAAGATGTTATTTGTTGGTATTGTTTGTATTTACAGTGGGGACTCAGCTGAAAAGAGGTGGCAAAATTAAAAAATATTTTATGAACGCTTTGAATAAAATAAATGTACACATCTAGTAGAACATTTTCCAGAGCTTTAGCGAATCTAATTTTCAAGATAATATTAGTTTAGGAGATATGAGCAGAGATAACATCCTTTATTTTTATATATTGTATTTGTTTTCCACCCCCACCCACTCTGCCCATTCCTCATTTATGTTGCGGCAGGTCAGCTCAGGTCGCTACATCACATCAGCCCTCAAAACAAAACGAAAAACCAATTCAAGCGGCCAAAAATTGTAGAACCCACACAAACAGTATGTGAGAATACATGGCACACACACATTTACGTAAACTGAAATCTCAAGCAAAGTCGGTTTCGGCAGCTAAAAATTATTCTATGCATACAATCATATATTTTGGAGTGTTACACGTACACAACACATACATGCTTGCTGTCCGTCGGCTCGTGTCACGTCATGAGCCGAACGCGGTCATTCCCAGAGCCGAACGCGGTCGGCCCCAGAACCGAAGACCTGGGAACGTACCCTGAAAACTCAGCTGCACCACTTTCGTTGTATGAACTGGCACATCTATATACACTGCCGATCAATGGGATAGACTCAATGCATTTTTCGTTTTTCTCTTCGATTTCCTCATTTACGGAGTAAGCTTTCGCTGAACTTTTTGCTGTGTTTGTTAGAGCAGTACAGGGGACAGAAGTAGGAGATAAGAGCGGGGTGCAGAAATTTTACAGTTATGATTTATTTCTATTTTGCTTTACCCTATGCCAAAAAATGAGCTTTTTAGGCGATCATTCGAATAGACTCAGAGGCTGCAATTTTAGTTACTGATAAGCTGTGCAAGGTAAAAGGTGCATTTAATTACCTCTTGCGACTTCCCATTATTTAAATACAAAATGGGTCGGGGCAAAGTTCTAACAGCGGAGGAAAAAGCAAAAATATTGGCATATATGGACAGCAACCTTACAACCAGGCAGATAGCCACAAAAATTTCCAGAAGCCAGACTGTTGTGTCTCATTTTTTGCGAAATCCATCAAATTATGGAAAAAACATAAAAACTCCTAATCGAAAAGCACTCACGACTACCGAAACGCGAATAATTCTGCGAAAAGCTTCAAATTCCACGTGCTCTGCGGCTCAAATTCGATCAAACTTGGGAGTTACAACTAGTATAGCAACCGTGCGGCGAGTTATAAGGAACGCTAAACATATAAAGAGATTAAAAATATAAAATAACCACCGCTCACTCGTAAGCAGGCTCGCTCTCTTTTTGCACGAAAGCACATGACATGGAAGACCGAGTGGTATCGAACCGTTTTTTCGGATGAAAAACGTTTTAATTTTCATGGACCAGACGGCTTTAATTATTATTTTCACGATTTAAGGAAGAAAGAAAAACATTTGACTAGTCACCATAGTCGTGAGGGGGGAATAATGGTGTGGGGTGCCATCTCTTACTATGGCACATTTGAAATCCAATTTGTTTCATGCAAGATGAATGCAACTTGCTACAAAGAGCTACTACAAAAGTCATTCCCGCACTTTTTTAACATTTTCGAGTCATTACATTGGACTTTCCAGCAAGATAATGCCCCAGTCCATACTGCCAGAGTCGTAAAGAGCTGGATTAAAGACCAAAATGTTCCCTTAATGGAGTGGCCACCTTACTCTCCAGATCTAAATATAATAGAGAACGTATGGGGATGGCTTTCGCGTAAAGTTTATGAGTCGGGAAGACAATTTGAAGATGTTGAATCATTGAAAAATGCCATCAAAAACGCCTGGAGCGAAATATCCTTGAACTATTTGAAGTCCCTTTATGATTCAATGTCAGATCGACTTTACGAAGTCATTTCCAATAAAGGTGGCTACACTCATTATTAATAAAACTTTAAATATCATAATAAAACATTTTAATACTAAGATTCTTAAGAAGTTTGTCATTTATATTAATTATAAGCACTTGAGTCTATTCGATTGATCGATAAAAATATCAATTTTTTCAAGGTTTAAAAACAAAATAAAATATTAAAAGAAAACCATTTGCCCTAAAACGCAAATTTTTTATTTTTTGAATAAAGAATAGAGTCATGTATACTGCAAAAATTAATTTTTTCCACGTTGATGAGTACTTTGATTTAAAAATTGACATTTCATACGGAAAATTCTTGAGTCTATTCCATTGATCGGCAGTGTACTGTATGGTTAGTGTCTGAGTACTGCCTTCCGTACAGAGCCTAGAAAACAGTTTTTGCCGGAAAAAATGTCTTTTCGGTTTCATATGAATATCAACCCTGATTCTGTTCGCGAGGTGTTTTTTTTCGATCTGAGTATTAGGCTTAAACAGTTTTTGGATCTGAGTTCTAGGCTTTAGAAAATTTAGTTAGCAAAGTCTAATAGTCTAATGTAAACACTACGGTTGAGCTATTGCGTTTTTTTTAATATAGGTTTAGCCTAGTGGTGGCAAAAATTTTAAGTTATGGTTGCGTTTCAGTTGCGTTTGTTCGATTCTCCGATTATTTCATCCCTGTTCCCCTATCGTGTGAACTATCACCACTAGAAAAAAAAATCATGTTTAAGGCATAGTATCCAACACCGCGGAATCTAAAAACTGTGCCAGGAAAATTTCTTTTTCCTGGAGTGTGTATCCAGCAACACGAGCGGAATCCACAGATTTGTATCGATAGTTACCTATCGGGACCGTGTGTGAACTGAGAGAACAGCTGACTCCCAGCTCAGGAATATATGTTCAACAATTATTCCTGAAGTGAATGGTGCAAGATGTAGGCAAAAACAAAAAGAGAGATGAAAATTATTCTTCTTTGTTTTGCAACAATATATGCCGCCACCAACACAATCATTTTATCATCAGAGTGCATTTTCCCCCCTTTTTTTAATTTCAGTTGAATTTCACAGTTGGCTCCGTCTACAAAAACACAGCTGATTCATCAACACTGTTTTAGCTATGTTCCCCACCCTCACGGAATAACTAGTAAATTCCTGCCATGAATTCCTGTTACAGTTTTTTTTTATATGAAGTTTGACAGGAATTTTTAGATTCCGCTGTGCTGGGTAGCTAGGTATGCTGGGTAATGGGTTTCGTGGTGTACGGAAGAACTCTCACATACAAGAATGAAAATCATTACAAATAAATGAATTTGAAAAATTGAATTTGTTATTCATTGAGAACTATTCACGAAATGTAGCCCCAAATCTTTTCTGTCCATATTAATAATTTGGTTGATATATAAAACGTTTTTAAAAACACGTAGAACGTGCTGTTGTCAAAACTCATAACTCAATAACTCGAGTTTGTGCCAGTGTAGACACAAATTCTGAGTTACTGAGTAACTCAACAATCGATAGGTAACTCATGTAAGTGTAAATAGGCTATTATAGCCTTTTTATCCTGGGCGCGTCTGCTATCGATATCGGAATAGACGCAATGAAGCAGAAAAGGCGTTTACATTGGCAGATGTGCGTCTTGAATTTTGATTTGAGTGCTTGATGACAGGGAAAGAAAAAAAAATTTTGAGAAATCAACAGAATTATGCAAGACGACAAGAAAATGGACGAAAGAGAATTGACTGTCATATTTATTTATTATTTTCAGACATTTCTTTGTAGAGTTTGTGGGAGTTCTTCTGGTTCTTCTTCTGGTTTATGAAAACCATCGAAGTTCGTCTCCGGCAGTGTCATAATGGCATCAGGGGGTCACAAAAATTTCGTATAATAATAATACAATCAGTTTCAAGTATTTATTTCATGATTTTATGTATATTTTCACCTTTTGACACAACCATACATTTTTAGCACCAAAATTTGATTTTTGATCTACAAGATTTTGTTGTTATTAGTGGTGATAGTTGCGCTGATAGGCAGAAAAGTGCAAAACTTTGCTGTTAAGCGCAAAATCAATGGAATATATTGAATAGATGCACATTAATCAGTGACCGACGCAACTTTATGCCCCCACTAGGTCCCTATGCTTAGCCTATGTAAAAAAAACTGCGTCTCCGGCAAGACGCAAAGAAGCATGACGCAGCCCCAATGTAAATAGCCTATAAATCGAGTTTGTGCCAGTGTAGACGCCAATTCCGAGTTATTGAGTTAACTTAACAGTCGATAGGTAACTCATGTCAATGTAAATAGGCTATAATATCATACGGCCATAATATCGACATGTTCAAACGATAGGCAAACTATAATAACTACACTATCGATATGCATTAACATTTTGAAATATGCAATAAATGTGACCAGTATAGTATGAAACACAAAACCCAATAATACAATTGCTTCAGGTTGGTGGTTTGTTGGTTCGCCAACACGCACATAAAGATTCACAAAGGGAAAATTATTTTTAAAGACATGAATTTATAATTTTTCTGCTGCGCTGCAGCAGATCCATTACAAATCGAAACTTAAGCATACATTTCGCACGCTCAAACTGCATGCTACTCCCATTAAGTCCGTTTCACAGGTTTGAATTGCAGTGAAATGCAATACGACCATTACCGAGGCTTGAAACTTTTTAGACAGCCCTCGTATAACCTATTTCAAGGATTGGAAGAAATATAATACTAATTTAAATCAAAATTTATAATTATTCGAGTCAAGGGAACAAAAATGATTAAATTAAATCAATTTTTTTTTTCAGCTCGAAATGGTACTTATCTAAGGCTGATCAAACGACGTAGCTACGATAAAAATTAAATGAACTTAAAATGTATATTTTTGAAATATAAGAATTAAAAAGGATCAAGGAGTATTAATTATACGCTAAATTAAGCAAGGAACAAATATGGAATACAAACTGGAGCTCATTCTTTCAAGTTGAGCCTTAAAATAACATAAGTCAAAAGATACACATATTATTATGTATTATGCGGTACCAATACCAACAGATCACATCAAGCTTTTAACTATAAAATAAGCAATTAAAAGTTTATTGATCACACACACACACAACAATATACCTATCTCTTAAAATGGAGTTTTTTATAAGGATGCACTGCATATTGTGGAATGTATATTTAATTTGTGTTTTTCTGATGGCGCCACGGGTTTATGCTAATGCTGCAGCTGGATCGCAAGGTGTGCCGACATGGATGTAAGTATTTTTTCATGTATTTATTACTTATCTAAACACTTAAACTATAAATATGTAGCTGAGTCGTTGCTCCACAAACGTAATTGTATAGATCAAACCAAATATATGTACATATTATTTTTAAAATGAATTTTTACGTCAAGCCACATTTATAGTCATGTTAGGTTATTTAATTAAAATTAATTTAAACTAAAATCCTATTGTAATATTTGGAAACAATTTTTAATAAACTTATACTATAATTCATTTTATTCATACGTCGATTAAATTAGTTGATAACCTCTTAAATGTGAGAAAGAGAAAGTGATGAAGTATCAACGGAATGGCTCTCAAATTTAAATAGAGAATCACATTACTGAAAATAAGCTGCCACACAACGACTTAGTTTCTAATCTGAACTTTACTTAAGCGGTACCGGCCGCCCCGTAGCGTACAATAAATTGAAAGAGCTCGTGTCATACATGTTCTAATTTAAAAGCGCTTCAATACCGCTCATTTGGCAGACACTACACAAAACTGATAAGAGTTTATACATGCACATGCTCCGATAACACAAAAAAAAAAAATTAACAAGTTGAAGCATCTTACTAGAAATCAACACTACGTTCAATCAGCTCTATAAATAGTGCTTGTTTCACTTATCATATCAAGCAGTTTTTGTTCATAGATTACAGACGCTAAAATGGCAACGAACTACAAGAGTATAATGCGTTTGTTAGTAGTTACAAGCTGTGTGGCAACAGCCTATGCAGTATCCAGTACATGGGGAAATATTTCAAACTCAGCTCAACTTTTACATGCTGAAAATGTGGCAAACGCATCGTCCCCCGGCAGATATGTGAACCATGAGATTAAATATCCCAAAAACGTAAGCATCAACGCGACTCAGATTTTCATAAGTATTCATGTATGTATTATACATTTCCTGTCCGATTTCCTGTTTTCATATGTGTGCTGTCAATTTCGAGCGCTGACGAAAACAGAACATACTAGAAAATAGCAAACACATATTAGTGTATTCAAAAGTATATCCTCTTAAAATTTTCTAATCAAAAACATCAAACATGACTAAAAAAGCAAAAACTTACAGATTCGTTAAAACTGGGATTACTGATTCCCGTTACATATTTGTACGATTTTTTAATAATATATCAGGCAGCAAAACTTTTTCTTTTGATAACGAGTCTTAGGTGTCGATCTAAAATTTTCGCCTGTCCGTCAATGCACCAGAAAGTCATTTTTATATTTATCCAGTGTTTCCGAGGGAAAATTATTTTCCTCGAACCCCTCTTCATATATACAAAGAATTACAATAAATACATTTATATGTGAAAGCAAGTCAACATGAAAATTCAAGCACAAAAACTGTAATATACTTTGTGTAAATATGTATAAGATCTTTCTTCGCGCTTCTTTTCCAAAAAATATACATATATCTCGGTTTCCACACACTACAGGGCATTGGTAACGGGAGAATCATAACGGGCATACGGGCGTTCGACCAGGTGACGAATAACACTGGTGGTCATGCTACAATTTACTCTGGAGGTCCCGGGTTCAACTTTGTACACATCAAGCTTCAATCTCAGTACAACTATGGTTTAATATTTCGAGTTGAGATTTACGGAAAATAGAACAAGTGCCCAAATTTGTTGTAGATCATAAGTAAATGAATAAAATAATGAATGAGTAAAATAAAATAGTAAGGAATCTTAAAAAAAAGCGTTTGTTTCTTTTATCATGACCCATTAACTTTGCGCAAGAACCAAAATACGACATAAAACTACACTGCGACTTTTCCTTTTTTTTTTTTCTTGACTACAGTGACAATATGTACATTAAAAGTTAATAAAAACACATTTCCACATAATTTTGTCTCAAATTAAATGTAAACTAGTTCAACGAATTGATATACCTATTAAAATGACGTAACAATAATTTTTTTTTTTGTGTATTTTAATAATTAAGTTTTGCTTAGTTTTATCTCATATAAGAAAAATCATTCTTTATAAAAGTTCCGTTCCATTACTCTCACTTGAGATATCTCTTAACTACCTCAAAAAAATCCTAAAAAATTGGCTTAATCTCGGCTAATAGTGAATTTTTTTTAACTTTTGTTATCTCTTGATGAAACTATGAAATTGAATTTTCTAACTTTTTGTGTAATTTTTTTCTTTGGAAACAACATTTTGTTCTAAGTAACATATATAATATAATGATCCGATTTCGATTATTTTTGGCTATGGTTTGGTATTTGGTAAGTAAGAATAAAACTGAACAGTCTGAATATATTTGGCAAATCGTTGCAAAACTGCGCAATGACTACTTAAACATGTAGTTCTTCTAAGTAAAAAAATCGACTGTACATAATACATACTTTCAGAAATGTATATCCATAGGTAAGAATTATAAAATTGAGGTTTTTTAAGTTTATTGCTGGCAAAGTATTCGTCCTTCTTAAATGTATTGAATATTATTAATAATAGTAGGATATTTTATGTTGTTTTTTTTTTTATTAAAACCAAAAACTAGCTAAGCCGCAAATAATCTATAATACACTTAAAATGTTTATGATTTAAATCATCGCACAACAAAACATTCGTGAGATATTTTACCATAGAGTTTTATAATTAATCATTCGATCATGCTCCATATATTTCCACTTGAGATTTAATGCCGGATCCCCTTGAAGAAGTAAATTTGATTGTCACTGTCGTGTCACCTACACCGCCAGAAGTGATCTCCGCAGTTGCACCGCGCTTCCGTTTTAGATCCGTTATATTTATATAGCTTATAGTCATAGGCCGTGCCTGCCTGGGTCAGCGTATATGTCTTAGTCGTGGTTTGCAGCAGCATCTTTGTTTTAGCTATGACCTCGCGTGCAATCAGGGTATCGGTTGTTAATTTAGCACCCCACGTATAATCGTTACCTTCGCCACTACTGCCGCCTAGACCGTTGATCAAACAGACATAGGAGCCAAGTAGCAACAAAATCACACTGCTGAAGTACATTTTAATAGTAGTTACTGAGCTGTGGTAGTGGTTTGAAGATGAGAGAATGAATACTGATGTTGAAGACAAGACATACTTTCGCTTTTATAGGGCTGGCTTGGTTCAAAAATTGTTATTCGATGATGACCTACTTCGATAAATGTGTCTCCAACACCTGCAGCATATCTCAAAAGTCGGTACATTCTACCTTTCCACACTATGTGGAAACTATTGTAACGGCTCTTTGTTGCTAGCGGTGTAACATAAATTCAAAACATCTTGTTGCTGCGTATCTCATTTATTATGGAGAAAGTGAATTTTCAATTCTTTATATTTTATCGGCCCCATATTTCAACCAAATCGTTAATGCCATAGCCACGCTCAGATTCAAATAAAATGGTAGCACCCTTCGAACCAGGGCCACCGCTAATTAGTTGTGCAGTGGCTCCATTATTTTTCTTCTTGTCAGTGATTTGAATGGCGGTAATCGTTAACGCATCTAGGTTGTCCTGCAATTCAACAAAAACACTTGATCGCTTATAGATATTCCTAACGTAATAGGTATTTAACCTACCGACTGTTTAAAAACATATTTCTTTGTTTGTACAAGACCAACAAAAAATGCCTTTTTGATTGTATCCTTGGCTAGCTTGTAGTCATTGACCCCAATCTCGCCCCAGAGGTAGTTTTTGGTGGCACACACCGGCTCCTGAAGAGTGATAAATAAGACGAAAGCTACTGTGACTACAAAAATTACAGAATTTTTCCTCATTTTAAGAATTTTGCTGTATGTATCTTTTTTAACTGACATGAAATAAATCTCACACGGACCTTTTATTTATAGCGTTGTACACTATGCTCGGAAATAGTTTGATAGTACAATCATGTACTTGACTTGCGAATACTATAGCTGATATTCAGACTTGAACATATCCAGTAACTTTTACTTTTAAAATGTTAAGCATGAAAAAGAAGAGTCCTAAAAGTCTCTGGTTCTGGATTCAAAAAGGCTTCTTTCAGCCCTACACGTTTTCCTACACATGTAACATTAACTACAATACTAGTTACGGGGTATTAATATATGGGTACATTTTAACTATATTGTATTTTTGAGGGTTCAAATTAATTAAGAAACTTTATCTTATCGAAAAATAAAGACAAAAATATTAATTGCTATAGCTAAACGTTGCAAGCTTTACTGGAGAAATTAAAAGTATGATAAGTTCACCTCGCAGAAGTTTGTATACCCTTGAAGTCTCAGAGCAGTTAATGCTATTTTATCTGACTAGAAATTAGGAATTATCTATTTATGTATGAGGTCAAAAACAATTCAAGTTTTTCTTAATAATATAATATAGTATGGATAGGTTATTTGGTTAGATTATCTTGAGTCAAAACATCCCAAGGATTGGAAATAATTTGAATTGGATCGATAATTTGCTTGAATTACACAGGCCGACAAAATTCAACATTATATTTGCTGTCAATATTTGACTATAAAATATAGAGCAATCTCATGAAGAAAAAGTTAAATGTTATTACTGCTATTAATTGAGATTATTTAAATTACCCTACTCGACAAAATCGAACTATTTTTTTCCTCATGGATTCTAATCGACCTTTAATGATAGATTTCCGTCTTAAAATTTTTTTTTTTTAAGAATTATTGTTTTGACAAAAATTTCTTCAACAAATTTGTAAAAATTGTTAGTTTTTATGCTTTTTTTTTCAGAGGTAGCTCGTCTGGTTTTTCCACATAACTTAAGTATCTCAAATTTGGTTTTAATTATTTGGTTTTAATAAATTTGACCACTTTTTGAGGCAATAATTAATAACTTCCAAACGAAACAATATTTTTTGGTTTAGTTTTTTGATATGAGTTTATGGTTAGCAAAATGAAGGTATTTTGAAAAAATGGGTGTGGCAACTCCTTTTTTTATTAAAAAAAACATTTATATTTGTTTGCTCAAAATGTAAAAAAACAAACATTCTCAAATGGATTCAGGTTCGGAACTAATTCTGGCCTTTTCAGACTGTAAGGAAGATTTAGGTCACTTGTACCTGTCCTGTTGAAAATACAACTTGCCAAAAAATCTGTTAACTCAGTGCTCTGAATACACTACTCGACAAAATCGAACTTTTTTTTTCCTCAAGGATCCAAACCGACTTTTTCTGATAGATATGGGGATTTAAAATTTTTTAAAGAATTATGGTTTTTTTTCTATGGCAGAACTTTTTTTTGAAGAATTTTTGAAGTCTGGTATTTTTTTTTAAACCTTTTTTTAGAGGTAGCGCTTGTTTTTTTCACATAGCTCTAGTATCTTACGTTTGGTTGTAAAGAACTTTCCTATTTTGAAAAGATAGGTAAAACAGCTAGAAGTCAAGCGAAAACACTTTGTGATTTCAGCTTACCGTCTATGAAATATAAAGCATTAAAATGCAAAAATGATGATTTTTTGCGGTATTTGGTGGTTGACCACTTTGAAAAAAGCTTTAAAAAAATACCAGACTTCAAAAATTCTTTAAAAAAAAGTTCTGCAATAAAAAAAAACCATAATTCTTTAACAAAATTTTAAAGTTCCATATCTATCAGAAAAAGTCGGTTTGGATCGAGTAGTGTAATAAGGACACTTGGCCATGCCTTAGCAAATGCTCTATAAAATTACTATATTCAGTTCTGAGGTGATCTTAATTTTTATAAGTTGATTTATGTTTGCACTTTATAAAAAAAATGTAAAACACTCAAGGTGAAAAAAAATAAAAAAAATGTTGTTTGGTACTTAATTGACTTTTGGCTGTGCGAATTAATAGAGACACCGATATAAAACATGTTATATTTCGAAAAAAATAGCTTGTTTCTAAGAGTTGTTTGGTTTAAAAATTTGATCGTAATTAGTTTTAGTAATTTTAGATATAAAAACATCCATAAAACAAAGTTTAGATATTAGGAATGGTAAGGGAGGTATTCAGATACCCATGGACATAAAAACGTCCACAAAAATGGATTTTAGTTACAGAAAATTGCCGAAAGATAGAATTTTCTCCAGAAAATGAATGATAATGCAATAAAACATACGATTAAAGTGGAAACACGGAAACAAAAATCCAAAATATCCCAAACTCTTGAGAAAAATGTGCTGAGATTCGTGAGGCAAACCCCCTTTTAAATATTCTAATAATTAAAAAAAAAATATTCTATGGAACAAACCCTTCCAAAATATAAATAATACTCAAAGCTAAAAATCTCAAGTCCAACAGATCCCAAAAAGTTCCGTGTCTATCGAACAGGGCCAAGTGTCCTCATTATTAATCACATGAGTGTAGGTAACATTTGAACATCATTTATTAAAAAGGTTGCATTTAAAGTTGAAAAAAAAATAAAAATTTACATATTTTTGCATCAGACCTTCTACCGTTTTCAAAATGGGGGTAAATTATAAGAATCTATTGATACTTTTGGTCGAATAGTTTCAGCATAGTTTCAGAATCGGAAAAACATATTTATGTGTTTTGTATATATTATTATTCTGTTTGTTGTTTTATCAGGTGGTAATGAATGTTATTTCTATGCAATAACTTATGCGTTATTTTTCTTTTTAGATGTCTTGGAATAAGATCGCCGTTTATTGAATTTGGAAGTCAAGAGGAACAGCTGGCGAATACAAGTATTCCTCTTAATATCACTAAAGATGAACAAGCATATATGCACCAAGAGGGTCTGCGTAAACTTGGTACTTTTATAAAGCCTGTAGATTTGCGAGACTCTCAGACTGGATTTGTAAAAGCAGATCTCACTAAAAGACTGACAAATGATCCGCAAAGATCTCGGCGCATTCATCCGATACAGGAAGAAATGGATCAAAAACAAATTGTACTTCTTGACGATGATACTGATGAAAATGGTCTGCCCGCTAGCTTAACTGATGAGGACCGCAAGTTTATAGTTCCAATGGCACTAAAAAATGCATCTCCTGATCCTGGGTGGATTGATTCTACCTCTTCCCATCCTCCCATTGTAAAGTCAACATTCGTAGCAGCTTCCAATGCACAACGTCGAGCCACGCCAATAACGCACAGCAGTACAACGACGAAACTAGAAGTGGACCCTTCTTCCAATATAGACGATTTAAAGAAGCACATACTGTTTTTGCATAATATGACTAAAACCAATACAAACTTTGAGTCAAAGTTTGTTAAATTCCCAAGCTTGCAAAAGGACAAAGCTAAGCAGGCCGCTAGTGCATCAACGAACGTAAAACGTCCGCCTAGACCAGTTTTCCAATATGCTGCGCCGATAGCCCCGCCGACACGCAAAGTTCCACAGGGCGCACATACTCCAGGTCAACAGCCGTTTGGCGGTTACTACCATAACGATGAAGATATAAACAATTTGTCGTCTTTTCTTAAACCAGTTTCGGATACCAATGATTCTGCTCAAAGCGATGGGGGCAGAAAGTTGGATAAAATCCCCATAGTTCCTCAAGTACACTTATTGAATGAGGATCAGTCAACGACATGGTTGACCACTGAAGAGCCAGTGCCGACAATAGTAAGTCCAGGAAATTTGGAACCCGTACGCACAACGAAGCGCCCGGCTTGTCTTCGTAATCCAGAATCGCCAAAATGTATACGCCAGCGGCGACGCGAAGAGCAACAGCGCCAGCGTGAGCGTGATGAGTGGTTTCGAGGTCAATCAGAATACATACAACCTCGATTTCAGCCTATTATACAAACGATCAATAATACCAGGCGTTTCGCTGTTTCCATTGAGATACCAGATTCTTTTAAAGCACATACCGCTTTGACTTACCCATCCGACGAAACAGAGGGTGAAAAGGTGAACCGTATGAAGCGTTCTCAGCCACGCGGTCATAAACCCATGAAAGATTTGATTGACGGCTCTGTTGATAAACATACTCGCGAAACTGGTTATTTTGATCGGGATATTGTGATGACATCTGCAGATGTCGCCAGTGGACGCGATTTCCTGATCGCTAAGATGACCGAAAACGGCTTAGTATCGCCTAATGAACAGTACAATGATACATCAAGGCTAAATGCCTACTCTGAAAAAATAGACCTAAATCCTAATAGCTGTTATAAAATCAATGGCTTAAGCTACGGTCAGAAAAAACAATGTATGAAGCATACTAGTGTTATGCCAGCGATTAGCCGTGGTGCTCGTGCAGCTATTCAAGTAAGTATGTAACAAAAATGTAACCATTTTACTAATGTATGTAACTTTTATTGCTGCAAACTAAAGTACTAAAGCATTACATGTACATATATATGTATATAGAACATAAAAACATAACAGAACATAATACATATATATTTTTTAGATTTGTACCCAATGGGTACTACCCATCCAAATTAGTGTCTATATTTGTGTCCGCGTAAGCAAATGGATCTCAAAGAGTATAAATAGAAGATAAGAAACAAATTCTGTGGAGATCCCATGTTAATGATAATTCCTTATGGAAAAGAAAACAGAAATTAAGAAAATTGATAAAAACTTGTTTTTCGCCCAATTATTCATATGTCACTAACCGATTAAGATAAAAACTTTCCAAGTGCTGGAAAAACATACATGCATAAAAGCATTTAGAACCCATATAATCCACACATGTAAAAATTAAATACAAATCAAATCTGTATACGGAAAACTATCCTGATTGTGAGGATAAAAAAAGAAATCCAATTGTAATCGTCTGCTTGGAATATTTTCATAAGCAACATATTTTTCCCCACAACGAGTTTGTGGAGCGTTTTCAGCTATATAATATTGGATATTGACAGTATATGCATAGTTCAAGACATAAAGCTTCAAAACTGACGGACTATTTTGCATAGAATCAGATATAGGGACGGATAAACGTACATTGTATTGCCGACTTAGCTCGTCATCATAATAGACTCGGTTATTGATGCTGAACAAGAATATACAGCTGTGGTAATTGAAATAGTAGTGCCGCACCGCACCACTTTCAGAACTGTTTTTGAGACATTTCCAGTATTCCCAATTTAACATATAATACCTTTTTGGATAGACAGGAATGTAAAAAATAGAAAACAAAGGAAATCGGAGTGCATTTGCATTCCATTTTCTTGTTTTCATGACTTTAGACAACTACTCATGAAATCTGCTGTTCATAGAAATAGTAGTGTTTTTTAGAAAATCGAAAAAAATAACGAAATTAAATTTAAAACCTATGTTGCAGGTTCTACATGTGTCTTGGATTTTATAACTAGTTTTCAATCAATTTTATTTTCACTACGGCCTTACAACGACTTGGCATTGGTCAATAAGGTCCTCACCACGCTTCAATAGGATTTGAGTCAATACTCCTCTGACAACTCGCTATAACTTGCTCTGGTTGACAGATTTGAAGTTGCTACAATGTATTTGACATTCGCCTATAGGTTTTCGATGGGATTGAGATCCAGGTACTGAGCTGGACATAGCAAAACGTCGATATTTTCAGATGAAACCCAATTCCTAGCGTGCTTTCCTGAGTCTTTCGGATCATTATCCTGTAGAAAGATTTCTTTTGAGAGCCATTCTTCAACTCTTATACGAATTTTATGTATTATAAAGTATGCCTACATAAACAGTTTTGCTCAATACTCAAACACCAGACTAGGCAGTACCACTTCATTTTAACCTGGCCTCATAGGGCTCAGCCCGGCATGCCCAATGCTATTTATACCTGTACTCAAAAAAGAGTTAAGGGGTATATTAGATTTTTGGTAAAAGTGGATGTGTGTAACGCAGAGAATGAAACGTTTCTGACCCCATAAAGTATATATATTCTTGATCAGCATCAATAGCCGAGTCGATATAGCCATGTCTGTCTGTCCGTCTGTCTGTCTGTCCGGCTTGTTGAGCGCCTAGATCTCAGAGACTATAAGAGCTAGGGCAACCAAATTTGGTTTCCAGGCTCATGTGATATCACACTGCTACAAGTGTATTTCAAAATTTCGCCCCGCCCCCTTCCGCCTCCACAAAGGACGAAAATCTGTGGCAGGCACATTTTTAAAGATACGATAAAACTAAAAACGCAGTATGGTAGAGAATGCCCATATCTACCAGATTGCCGAATCTGAATTAGATCGGATCATAATTATAGCCAGAATGAAATTAATTTTCTGTTGGTTCTTCCGCCCCCTCCTGCCAGAGACCCGCTACCTATCTCTTTCTCGCTCGCACACTCTGCCGCGTTCAGTGCGCGAGCAATCCCTAGCGGAGGAGATGTAGAACCTAAATGGAACATGTACAATCTACATGTTAGATGTAGAATATACATTGTAGATGTAGATGTATATATCAGATTTAGCAAAAAAATGTAAATTTTTTTTTTTAATTCTAAAATTCTAAAAAATCATATGCTCAAAAATGTATATTCTGACTGAGTACGGGTATAAGTAGAGTCGCGTCCCCAGAAGCGACTCGCACGTTCCTTCTCGTTTTTAGCCTACTTCTTATAGTTAATTGGGTTAAATACAAATGCGAGAGTGGATAAATCTTAATTTTCAGTTCCATTATACCTCCTGCCTTTAGTTTTTAGTCTAGCTCTTAGGTCTCCTTTTCTGGCTCAGTCCAGATTACTTTTAAGCTCCAAAATCAAAATTACCGCTATGTCCAAAACTTTCTTTCATTCAAATATTTAATAGCTGAAATAAACTTATGGTGACTTTTTTAAATGAATTTCTTTTTTTTTTATAGTTGTTAAATATTTACACCCAGCATTACTATTTCTATCAACAGCAGATTTGATGGGTATTTTTCTTAAGTCACGTAAAACATGAAAATGGAATGCAAATGCAATAGGATTTCTTTAGGGTTATAGTGCTTACATGTTAATCTTTCCAAAAAGGTATTACATGTCAAATTTGGAATACAGGAAATGTCTCAAAAACAGTTCTGAAAGTGGTGAGTTGCGGCACTACTATTTCAATGACAACAACTGTATATACCTTATAGGATCGGAGTTTTTTCCTTCTGTGTTTCCTCAAGGGTGTATGTACATTTTTTTTTATTTCGTTTTGATATCGTTTTTGTTAACGATAAAGTTATATTTCTTTCATTTAACACGGACTCGTATTTTTTTATTTATCAGGAGTGTCAGTTTCAATTTAAAAGTCGTCGCTGGAACTGCAGTACAACAGACGACGAAACCGTTTTTGGTCCTATGACAAATTTGGGTGAGTATTTTAAACCAAAAGTAACTCCTTTGAAATAAGAACATGTACATACATACATATGTACTTACATACATCCAATAAAAGTTACCAGTGGAAGATCTGCTGACGCAATAGGGGTTGTAATCGCAAAAAAATATTGGACACATGTAATAAGGAAACTAGAAAAATAGGTTCACGAAATAATAACACTTTGGAATATCCGATTAAACCTACAGTGACGCCAAATATTCGCCACAAAACCAAGACAAAAAAAAAAAACAGAACAGAAAACAGACAGACAAAGAGACAGACAGACAGACAGACAAAGAGACAGACAGACAGACAGACAAAGAGACAGACAGACAGACAGACAGACAAACAGACTGACAGACATGGCTTTATCGACTCGGCTATTGATGCTGATCAAGAATATATATACTTTATGGGGTCGGAAACGTTTTCTTCTCTGCGTTACACACATCCACTTTTATCTTTTTTACTTTATCTAATATACCCCTTAACTCTTTTTGAGTACGGGTATAATAACAGTTATTTTCATGTTTGGTGGCGAATATTTAAAAAAACTGCCATAAAACTGTAAAGTATAATTTCTAAGGAAAGATAAAGAAAAGAAAATTTTTTTGTTTGCTGTCAAATAACAACTATCACATTTGGCAAGTTGTACGTAACTGCAGAACTACAAAATTTTATTAAAATCGTTTCGTTAGCTTAGGAGTTAATGCGAAACATACACGTTACACGTAATTTTTTCATTCATTGAATTTCGGTAATTCTAACCAAACGGAAGAAAAAATGTAATTCAATTATAACTTTTTACAACCAAAACTTTTCCAATAAGTTATTTTATCAATAATAATAATAATTAAATAAATATAAATATAAAATTGAGATTATCGAAAATATCGTTTTGACATAAACAAATCTTATTATAAGGTCTAAAATGATCTATTTGATCATCATAATTTATCAGATTTGAACCCATCAATTTTTTTTCTCTGTGTAGACAAAAAAGCCTTAACACTAATATACCACTAATTTAAATCTTTGTATTTGATGCAGCGGCACCAGAAATGGCATTTATTCATGCACTTGCAGCAGCAACAGTGACTAGCTTCATAGCCCGAGCATGTCGAGATGGCCAGTTAGCGTCGTGTGGCTGCTCGCGTGGGAATCGACCTAAACAGCTTCATGACGATTGGACATGGGGAGGTTGTGGTGACAACCTGGAATACGCTTATAAGTGAGTAGTAATTTCGTTGATCTCTTATTTGAATTCCGATTTTGGTTAGGTTAGGTTAAGGCTGTAGAGAGAGAGAGAGAAAAAACCCGAGTCGAGCGACAGAATACACCAACAAAATATGGTTGCCCAGGGCCCGGTTGAGGGTTGATGCGGCCCTGAATAGGCCGAGTTTGGCTTTAGAGTTGTTAATTGTTTGTATTGTCCCCACCCACATCTAGGAGAAAATATTCCAGAGATTTTGCGAATCTAATTTTCAAGATAATTATACCCGTACTCAAAAAAGAGTTAAGGGGTATATTAGATTTGTGGTAAAAGTGGATGTGTGCAACGCAGAGAAGGAAACGTTTCCGACCCCATAAAGTATATATATTCTTGATCAGCATCAATAGCCGAGTCTATATAGCCATGTCCGTCTGTCCGTCCGTCTGTCCGTCTGTCCGTCTTGATGAGCGCCTGGATCTCAGAGACTATAAGAGCTAGAGAAACCAAATTTGGTTTCCAGACTCATGTGATATCACACTGCTACAAGTGTATTTCAAAATTTCGCCCCGCCCCCTTCCGCCCACACAAAGGACGAAAATCTGTGGCAGGCACATTTTTAAAGATACGATAAAACTAAAAACGCAGTATCGTAGAGAATGCCCATATCTACCAGATTGCCGAATCTGAATTAGATCGGATCATAATTATAGCCAGAATGAAGAAATTCATTTTCAGTTGCTTCCCCTCCCCCTCCTGCCAACGACAACGCAACTCATTTTCCTTCTCGCTCGCACACTCTGCCGCGTTCAGTGCGCGAACAACCCCTAGCGGAGGAGATGTAGAATCTAATTGGAACATGTACAGTCTACATGTTAGATGTAGAATATACATTGTATATGTAGATGTAGATATCATATGTAGCAAAAAAAATGTAAAATGTAAAATTTGTTTTTTAATTCTAAAATTCTAAAAAATCATGCTCAAAAATGTATATACTGACTGAGTACGGGTATAAGTAGAGTCGCGTCCCCAGAAGCGACTCACACGTTCCTTCTCGTTTTAGTTTAGGAGATATGAGCTGAAATATGATACGAAAATGAAATGTACAAAAATGTATTGAACCCCTTTTCACTTTATAATTTATCAAGCTGGGCCCACTATGCGCATCTGCTAAGCGGTCTCGAGCTCGCTCGGCTCGTTTCTTACAAACATTTCTGGCTCGCGGCCAGAGACGATGCATAGCCGAATGGGTCGCACCGGTAAGCCTCGGCATAGAACAGCTTTTTGGTCGGTCATGCAGCATCTTGGTATTGTATAGTCTTTGGTACTATGCACTTTCGATGGGTACCATCAGTTACATGCGAAAGACTATTTTCTGCTTCTGTTAGGACAATCACCCCACTTCGAAATCGCCTAATGCCAGAGAAATTGTCAAAATTAATATTTCTCGAAAGTCTGGAACGGAAGCCCTTGACCAACTAACTTTTGAGTACGTTTTTTACGTCTTAGTCGGACTACATATCGGTGTAATCAGAGAAAAATGGATCTCATCTCATATTTAGTTTTTTTTTTTTGACGAACCTTATAAACCCGCATTTGTCTGCCCACTGGGACAGTTTCTTCAGAGTGCTTGTCATGCACTCGCATAGCGTCTGTGGAAATATTCCAGAGAATGCTATGGCAACATCATCAGCGTACGCCACCACGTGAAATCCACCCCCCTCTATCTCTCGCAGCAGTTCATTAACTGCTACGTTCCATAGGAGGGGCGAGAGGACTCCGCCCTGCGGAGTAGACGTAGACGTTCCCAGTGAGGCCTCAACGGTCCGGCATTGAAGCATCTGATCGATAAGACTCACCGTCTGGGAATCAGTCGAGATGATGTTATTAATCCAAACCAGCATCCTAGGGTTAAACCGCGGTGAAAACGGATAAAAAGCGGACCCACCACGAAAGCCGTTACAGAGAGCCCGAAAACGGGGTGAGACGAATGTGACAGCGCACAAAGATAGACCGTAGGGGATATGGCGCCATGCACCGTTAGGTCGAACGATCGCACTGCAACGCGGGTATAAAAGCATGTGAGGAGAAGGAAACGGGCACACAACACACTCACGCGTGGGAAGCAGAGGGAGAATATAAAATGAACGCGGTTAGAAATTTTGTGAGTGAGCAAAATAAAATATTGCGGGAATGGGGCTACGACGCCCCCACTTTCAGTCAGCGACGGGGGGCATGCTCTTGCGAGGAGACGAAGGGAGTCGGCGGAGTAGCTCACCGGAGCTGCAGCTTATGGCGTCGCCGTTGGTGTCGCCCGCACCGTCGGTGTGCGAGACGCGCACTCCGTTGGCAGCCGCTGAGGAAAGTCTCTGAATCCGGCAGGTGCGACAGAAGATCGCGGAATTGACGCTGCGCATCAAGGCCAAGCATGAGGAGAAGCGGAAGAGGTGGTCACCTCCGATGAGAGCGCCAGTAAATCGGGAGTGGAATCCGACGACGAGAGCGAAGAGGGCCCGCCGCCAACTTCATGTCGTCCAGCGCAGAAGCCCGAGGCCCGGCCAGAGGAGGAGCAATGGCAACGCCGTCTGCAGGAGGTGGTGGCAGAGGAGGAGGCGATGTGGGAGCCGCGACCGTTGGAAGAGGAGGTCGAGGTCAAGGACGCAGGCGAGGAGTCGAGGGCAACGCCACCCGAGCCGGAAGCCGAGAAGGGGCACACGTGTGGGAAGAGGTCCCGCAGAGGAGCAACACACTCGACCTGCGGAATAGGGGCGCGGGGTTGGCGCCTACGGCCGCGGCCGGAGAACGTAAGACGAAGGTGACGACGTGCGAGGCGGGGACGGTAGCGGCGGCAGAGACCCCAGCGCCAAGCGAGTCGGTGGCCGAGGAGGCAGCGAAGAGGCAGAGAAGAGGCGCAGGCCGTGGCGGCAGAGTCGGCGACGTTGGCGGTGGCGAAGACGGCGCCGGTGGCGTTGGCAGGGACGGCGCAGTTGACGATGACAGCGACGAGGGCGGATACGGAGGCCGGCAGCCTGAGCACAGCTGCCGAAAGCACGGCACAATGGAGGACCCACCTGGAAGTCCGGGGATCAGCGAAACCTGGGAGCGCGGGCCATGGAAGTGTCCGAGCCCAGCGGCAACAGGGGCAGGGAGGCCATTCCTGAGAAGGCAGGCATCATGTCCGGAGCTTTGGGCGGAGGTGCAGCAGTATAGAGATAGCGCACAACGCCAAATTGAAAACGGTGAGTGGGCGGCCGCCACACAGGGCGGAAAAGGGAGTTTTACGCTATTGGAAGAAAGAGGAGAGTGTGAGGAACTGGGTTGCTCACAGGCTTCAAGGGGTTAAAGCCCCGGAGGTTATCCGCGGATATCTATCGTGGCTGATGCTCGTGTTTTAATTCGCTCCTCCTAAAAAGTTTTATTTTCGTTGTTTAATTGAAACTAATTGTGTTTTATTAGTGTACACAGGGTAAACCGACCGTGCAATCTGTCCATTACCTGTGCTCGTTTAGTTAGCCTTTCTCATTTCTTCCGTGCATTCGTATTCACAGCTGTGTTGTTGTTGACGTTTGCTCGATGCACCCTCTCTGAGCCGCTCTCTACTTTTATCTCCGTACATGCACATACTTGCACTGACGCTCTCTGTTCGTCGCCTCTCCGTGCCCGCCTAAAGATCTGTGCTTATCTCGTCTATCTGTGTTTAACTCGTCTCTCTGTGTTTAAGCTTCGATAGCTTTGGTAAAGCTAACTGCAGCCGTCAACTCTGGATTCCGACTGTTCCGACTGTTACAACTTCGTTCGTTCTCTTTCGTAGTGACCAGACGTGTTTTTGTTTTGCGCTCCGCATTTTCCTTTTGTTTAACTTAAACAGCCGGTGTTTTTTATCTATAATTTAACTCTCTAACTAACTTACATTAAAATCATACTTTCACCGCGGGTGCATGCCTGATAATTGTGTAAAAACACAACTTATTTAATACATTTTGTGCGTCGGTTAGTCGTGTGTTTGTGTTGTTGCTTTTCGTAAGTACGCCCTCTCATTACATTTGAGCGCTCTTTTTCGTAGCTTTTGCCGTCTATCACTCTCTCTATCACCTAACTCTCAATAACTGTTCTTTCTCTCTCGCTCTTGTAACTTTCTGTGCAGTAACGCTCTCACTTATAAGCTGTTGTTTGCCTTAAGCATTGCTTGCTCTGCACTTTGGTCTGATTGCTATTTGTTTTGAACTTTTTTTTTCCTTAAAATAAAAAAATAAAAGACATTATTATGATTATTATGGAATTTTCTGTCGTCTGTGCCAAAAAAACCTGCTAGAAGCAGATCACCCATGACCAGCCCAATATCCCCTGCTGGCTTTGCGAAAGCGTAGTGCACGCAAAATGTGTAGAGATCTCGGGCCGTGTAGGAGACGCCATTTCCCAAAACAACGGCCTACATTATAGTTGTGAGGAATGCCGTGCTGTGGAAAATGACATGCGTTCGTTCATGAGGCAGATGCGGGTTGGCTTCAAAGAGCTGATCGTAGGTCTTAAACAGCAATATGATCGGCTCTTGGCCATGGACACTCAGTTCAGCAGTTTACAGCTCCTGGCTGAGTCTCCGAGGCGCAAGAGGTCTACTCCGCGGAACTTGCAAGTGCCGACTGCCTCATGTCCGCCGGCGTCTGAAAAACTTGCTCCGACCACTCCCTTAGTGCAGCAGTTGATTACGTTTGCTACTCCAAGGGCAATGATCGCTGCTGGTGATGCAGATTCGGGAGCCGAATGCGTCACCTCGGAGAGTATACAGTTTGAAATGTCTGTAGAGTCCGTGTCTGTCGATTCCGCACTCAACTTCTTAACTATCCCATCAGTTTCGCTCCCACCAGCTAATAGATGTCCAGGACTACCGGATACTGGCATCACAGGTACTAGACCTGTGGTGCCAAAAGCACTGGTGGGAGTCCCACCAAAGCGACAAGTTTTTGTCTCGCGGCTAGCCCCTGACCTCACATCCAATGATGTGACCGCTTTTATACAAA